TAAGACACAGGTCCCAGCGGGTCATCATGGAGGGACAGACTGCAGCCGTGTCAGGCCACCTCTGGAAGGACAGGCTGTGGGTGCTGGCTGCGGGCAGGGCATGCGTGCTGCCGGCGGGGCGGGGGGTGGGCAGCAGCCCTCTCCCAGGTTTGGGTGCCAGTGAGCCATGGGATGCCTCATGACTCGGCGCTTGTGGCTGTCCTGGATTTAGGGGTTTTGAGAGAAAACTCTTCCTCTTCTGACTCCGGAGTTGGCCTCTTCCTCAGGGCTGCTCACTCACATGCTGACTCACTCAGCCTTTCTCTCTGACTTTCTCTCACTGTTGCCTGAGTTAAGAGAGCGAGGCCCAGGAAGACTTGCTCTTAGACCAGGGGTGGGCGAACTTTTTGACTCAAGGGCCACAATGGGTTCTTAAACTGGACCGGAGGGCCGGAACAAAAGCATGGATGGAGGGTTTGTGTGAACTAATATAAATTCAAAGTAAACATCATTACATAAAAGGGTATGGTCTTTTTTTTCAATAGTTTTATTCATTTCAAACGCAGGCCCGCGGGCCGTAGTTTGCCCACAGCTGTCTTAGCCCCTGGCTCCCAGCGACAGCGAGAGGGATGCTGGGCTACGAAGGGCAGAGAGAACAGCCCCAGCTGTACTTGGCCTTTGGCTTTGGGTTGTTTCTCAGTTCACCCTGTACCTCTACGTGACCCTGAGGAAGTGTCTGGATTTCTGTGACCTCACCTGTGCATCTCCTTTTCAAGATTATTTTCAGAAGAACCCCAGTGTTTAAGATGAATAAAAGTCAGGCTCTGGCCCTGGCCGGTGTGGCTCATGGTTAGAGCATCCGCCCTCACACTGAAGAGTCTCGGGTTCGATTCCCAGTCAAGGGCACATACCTGGGTTGCAGGTTTGATCCCCGGCCCTGTTTGGGGCTCGTGCAGGAGGCAACCAATCAACGTGTCTCGCATTGATGTCTCTCTCTCTTCTTCCCTCCCTACTTCCCTCCTTTCCACTCTCTCTAAAAATCAATGGAAAAAAAATATCCTTTGGTGAGGATTAACCAAATAAATAAATAAATAAAGTTTTAAACAGCAGGGCTCCATGGTTAGTCCTCCCCAGAGGTGACTGAGCGGAGAGGCCAGCCTTCCTTGCCTGAGACAAGTTGCCTGGTCTCTGGAGGCAGGCAAGACTGGCCCCCGGAGAAGCTTCTGACAGTGCTGCCATCCTCGCTGGTCCCATGAAGCTGTGTGAGTCCTGGCCTCCCTCGCTGCCTCTCTGCCTCGCTTGCCCCCCCGCCCTCATCCCTCTACGCCCATATGGCCGGTTCGATGGCCAGTGGCCTGTCAGCAGAGACCACGTGGCTCTCCGAGTGAGGAAGAGGAGGCTGTGAGTGTCCCGAGTGCTCCTGCCGCCTTCTCGCCTCCCTACCAGCCCAGTCCTCCAAACCGCTCCCTCCCCTTCTGCCCTCTTTATTTTTAGAGTAGTTTTGCTTCTAATGAGCTTCAATCTTCAAATGAGGAAGAAAACGGGGACCATGGGAATATGGGAATCCTTGGTGAATCACCTTAAATTAATGAGACTAATACAGGAATTGAGTTTGGCTGTGCAAATTAGCGTTTTGTTCTGGGTCTTGATGACTTAAATTGCAGATTCTAATTAAATGCCCCCAAGTAACCACCAAGTACCTTCTGAGGTCTTTTTGACCTGAAAGCTTCTATGATCTGTGAACTCTATCAAGTTTGTAAAATTAGTCTGTAGATGTTCCCCTTGAAGCATGTCTATCCCCAGAATCTCATAATGCCTATAATACTAAACTCCCTTCTAGGGCAGCGGTTCTCAACCTGTGGGTCGCGACCCCTTTGAGGGTCGAACGACCCTTTCACAGGGTTCGCCTAAGACCATCAGAAAACACATATATAATTACATATTGTTTTTGTGATTAATCACTATGCTTTAATTATGTTCAATTTGTAACAATGAAATTGGGGGTCACCACAACATGAGGAGCTGTATTAAAGGGTCCTGGCATTAGGAAGGTTGAGAACCACTGGCCTAGGGGAAAGGCAGGTGGGTGGAGTGGGCAGGGACCCTGCAGGGGTAGGGGGATGGGAGCCTCCCTTGGGCGGTTGAGATGTCAAGGTGAGATGCAGCCCTGTGGTAGGTGGCAAGTCTCTGCTGTCCCAGCTGAAGGGAAGGTGGCTGTATCTTCATGAATAAGCAGGGGGAGTGGGGGGAGGTTCAAGAGAGAAGAGCTCCTTCCTGGCTGATTCATCTCCAGGTGCCACCTCTGCCTCCACCAGCAGGGGGTGCAGATTTCAGTGATGCAAGGGGGTGATAGCCAAGAAAGGAAGCCATTTCCCCTTTTCTCCCCCGCCCCCCATCATGTCCCCAGACATGGCCACTGTCTTCCTGTGGCCTCCTGCTGGCTCTTTGCCTTTGTGTCACATTTTTAAGGAAGGGCTATAACCAGAACACAGGTGGAATAGTGTGTGGAAAACACACATGATGCAGAACTGACGTAAACATCTTTCATACTGTGTTGTCTCCATTGCAGCCATTGAAAAAATTAAACTTTTTATTAAAGTAGGACCCCTCCTCTCCTCCCACCATCAGTACTCACCCCTCAGAAATACCACCATTGGGACTCTAACACCAAGGGCTCATCAAACCTCATAGAAACACAGTTGCCTAGATGCGCTCCGTGTGCCTGGCTCTCCCCTTGATATCATTTCTAGGAGTCACCTGTGTTGTGTTCATCTGCTGTTGGTGGGCGTTTGGGTTGTTTCTGGTTTTTGACTGTTATAAATGTTACTGCTCTAAATGTTCTTCACATTCTTTTGGGGGGAATATAAGTATACATTTCTGTTAGCAATTCCAGATTCTGGGGTGGATGAGTGTTCGGTTTGAGTAGATACTGCATTTTCCAGAGTGGCCGTGCCCTTGACTCCTCCAGCAGTATATCAGGGCCATCACTCCTCATCCTCACCAACACTTGGTATTGCCGTCTTTTCATTTCAGCTATTCTAGTGGGTATGCGCTATCTCATGCCCATGACGGGCCTTTTCCTGGTGGCTAATGAGGTGGAAGAAGGGTCCATGTGGTTGTTGGCTTTATTATGGCCACGCGAACAGCCGTATGTCAGTGTTCACAGGTGTTGACACTGACACCTGCAGTGGGCCCTTGGGCTGGTCTCAGTCTGTCGTCGTAAGTCATACTGCAGTAAGCATCTCTGGATCATTGGCGAGAATTTTGTTGTGGACAAATTTTGATAAATAATGTTAGCTTGTTTTCCAAAATGCTTGTAGTACTATAACATGTCCTCAGCACTATACGACAGTCCTATGGAATTTCCTCTAGGTCTGCCCACAAAGCATATTCTCAATAGAACTAACTGCTTTTGGGAGACTAATTTAGGGAATGTAGGTGTGGGGAGCATTCCTTTTATTATTATGAATGAGTCTGGTCCCTGTTCAAAATGTTTACCACATGTATTACTCCTTTATGAATTCTTACCTTTTGCTACTTGGATTTTTAGTGAGTTTTTAAAATTAATTTGTAAATTACAAATTCACAGATATTAATACTATAAGTACTTTCCCATTTTTAGTGCATATTTTTGACGTGTATGCCTTCTGATTTCAGCAAACTGATGCATCTTCCCCTGGTGACTTCTGTGACCCCAGCCAGGCCATGCTCCTCTGCTGAGGCGCCTGGCTGAAGGTCCCTGGGTGTCCCAGTGGGAGAGGCAGGAGCTCCAGGGCGAGAGCACTGCTCTTCCAGTGGTCTGTACCCCAGGCCCTGGCATTTTCAGATGGCTCATGCGCTGGGCCCCCAGGTTCACCCAACAGCTCCCCAGCAGTGCAAGGACTGAGTCAGCGTTGGGGGGGAGGGTCTGTTTCACAATGGCCCCTGCCTGCTTCACTTTGGGAGGCCAGCAGAGTTTGGGAGCCCAGTGGAGTTTGCAGAGCGCTCTCCCGTTGTGGAAGGTCTGGTTCTCACTGCACCCTCTGAGATGGGTACTATTAGCTTCATCTTAGACAGCAAAATGCAGAGCCTCCGAGGGGCCCAGCAGCTCTCTTGGGACCTGAGGCCTATGGGAGGGAGGACTGGGACTCAGAGCCTCACCTCCTCATTTTCCCTGATCCACCCCAGCTGCTCATGTGGTTCTTTCGGGACTGCCCCAAATTCCCCAGGGTCACCCCTGGAGTGGAACAGAGTGTGTACTGTCTAGTTCTCATTCGTTTGGGTTTTGAGCAAAACCTTTGTTTTTGAGCCAGAAGGTTAGATTGGTATGTGGAGAGAGGAACATGAAATAGCTTGTGGCATTTCCATATTTCTAGGTATTAGAATTATAATACTAGAGTCCTGGTGCACAAAATTTGTGCACGGGAGGAGGGGTTCCTCAGGCCGGCCTGCACCCTCTCCAATCTGGGACCCCTCAGGAGATGTCCGACTGCCTGTTTGGGCCCGATCCCGGGGATCTCGGGCCTAAGCAAGCAGTCGGACATCCCTCTCACAATCCGGGACAGCTGACTCCTAACCCCGCCTCTGCCTACCGGCCTGATCGCCCCCTAACTGCCCGCCCCTGCTGGCCTGATTGCCCCCTAACTGCCCGCCCCTGCTGGCCTGATTGCCCCCTAACTGCCCGCCCCTGCTGGCCTGATTGCCCCCTAACTGCCCGCCCCTGCTGGCCTGATTGCCCCCTAACTGCCCTCCCCTGCCGGCCTGATCACCCCATAACTGCCTTCCCCTGCTGGCCTGATCACCCTTAACTGCTTCTGCCTTGGTCCCTACCACCATGGCTTTCTCAAGAAGGACATCTGGCCCTAACCGGTTTGGCTCAGTGGATAGAGCATCGGAAAATCAATAAAATATATTTTAAAAAATAAAGGACATCTGGAAAATGTCCGGTCTGATTAGCATATTACCCTTTTATTAGTATAGATTCTTTCACAAGAACTCCCTGCGTGTTGACCAGCTTGTAAGTGTATAACTTTCTATTTTTAGGTGATGGATTTGGATATGCTTCTATGAAGAAATGCCACGTGTCACTACTGAAACAAGAACAAACATGTCCAGTAAGTTGCTGGGTGAGTGAACCCCCTCAATAGCGGGACCATGGGCCCTTCAGGTAGAGGTGTGGACACACGGAGAGAAGACAGGGCGTCTGGAAATCGCAGGCTTGGAGAGGGGTGTTTTAAACCAGCCCTTCTGCTCAGTCTCATTGCCTAACCTTCTAAAGGGTGGTTCCTTGCTGATGTGGCTGGGAAAATGTGAACCTCACTTCTTGCTGCTTCCCATGTGGAGGCTGTCTGACACAGCCAGCAGAGGCCGCTCTCAGAGATGGCCACACCCCAGCGCAGCACACGGCTCTCGAGAGGATCACATATATGTTTTGTGGGAAAGAAAGGCAGGACCGAGACCCACATGAAGTTTCTGTAGCTCTGGGAAGAAAGAGGGCAAGGTTGGAGGGCATGCGCCTTTGTCTGTCCCGTGTCCCACCGAGCTATTGTAGCCAGGGTGGCAAACCCCTTCCTGCATCTGTATCCTAACAGAGATTGTAGCGAATTGACTTTAAATATTATGAAATTCTATGAGACTTGCCAATGGGAAAGCTTAATAAAGCAAATAAAATCTCAAAAGCCATGTTTTACGATTGTATGTAAAACATCATTTCAGGGGGCATGTCTTTGTCAGAGAGAACTCGATTTCTGTATGGGTCCCTCGGGCCTGCTGTGTTGTGTGAGTGCGCTGGGGAGCATGGGGAACGTGGTGACTGAAGAGACCTAGACCATCAGACTCTTCTTCCCCCGGCCGACCTGCTGGGACCCTGGCCTCGCTGTGCCTGCTCGCATAGCTGACGCACTCTCTGGGATCTCACAGTGCCTTTCTGCCACCATCTGTGCTTCTTCCCATCGTTCGTTCCCATTTCTCAGGACTGCTGCCACCTTAAGGGATAGGGCTGGATGACAGCTCTTCCCAGGGAGTCAGGCGTGGTCTGACCCAGGAGCAGGAAACACATCATCACCAATGACATCATGACAGCAAGAGAGCACAGCCCTCGCCATGGCGCCAGGGCCCGTGCACTGCAGCGGGCTTCCACCATTGATGTGGCAGCTGACATGCTTGGCCTCTCTCTGGCAGGTGAGCCTCTTGGGGCGGCTCCAGTGGTTCCGACATGGCAGGTCTGGGAGGGCCACGCATGCCGCCTTGGGCACCTGGTGGACAGCCAGTATGAGCCCCCTGTGACTGCCCCAGGCTGGAGGGTGCCTCCTCTGGGTGAGTCAGAATAGGGAGGAGAAAGCCAGCACTCTCCCTGACACTGCCTCCGAGGGAGCCAGTCTGCTGCAGGTTTCCAGCCAGGAGATGATGTGGGAGTGTCCATAGGGCCTGTCTGGCCAGTGCCCAGGCCATAGTAAAAGGCCTGTCTGTTGTGGGTATGCAGACCTGGAAAGGTAGGGGTTTGGTCTTAGAGTCTGAGACTTTCTAGAAATCTCAAAACAAAAAGTTTATAAAATGAAGAAATCACCTCACATAAGTTTTGGATATAAAAATAAGTAGACTGTTGGAGTCCCTCTCTCCCCCCAGTTTTATTGAGAAATAATTAACACACATCACTGTATGCATTTAAGGTGTGCGGCATGACAGTTCAATTTACAAACACTGTGAAATGATAAGTGTGTTGGGGTTGTGTGTTTTTTGTATAAAGTCTGAAAGCAGGGAAAAGTTGATTAAGGCTGACTTTTGTCTGGCATTTCTTTTTTATTCAGGAAATCTGCAAGATCCAGATGAACCCATTTTAGAGTTCAGCTTAGGTGGGTGTCTTTCATTGTTTTAGGTAACAGTATATGTTGCTCAAAAACAAAAACCCAACTGCTGGCCTGAGTCTTAGAGAACCTGCTGCCGCCGTCTCTGCTGCTGACGTGTTGCTGAGAAGATGAACCCGGAGGCTGATGTGGACTTCCTATGGCGGTGGGGGGCGGGGGGGTCTGGGGGACTATGCCTGCAGGGCTGGAAGTGTGAGCCCACCCTGAGCTGCCGAGACCGGGACGGGTGAGAAAGCGGGGTTTAGGGCTAGCGGTGTCAGCCCCTGACCAGGAGGCCTGTGTGGTTGAGTTTAGCTTCCTTGTCCTTATTCCCTACTCTGTGACCGGAGGTGATGACACTTGCGTGCTGTCCCTCTCCGAGCATCAGAGACTGCGCCAACCCTGGGATCGGGAAATGTGGCAGGAGAGCAAGGCGGGGTCAGCTGGGAAGCTCCTCTGGGGGCACTGAGCTCTGGTGGTCCTCTCCCCTCCCCGCATCTCCTGGACGGGGGTCAGCATTGGCCGGTGGCCTGGCAGAGGTGCCCAAGAGGTGCTGTGAACCAGATGACCTGGAATCTTATCCAGACTGTGCTGTAAACTAAGTGCCCAGCCTTGAGCCTGGCCTTGACCTTGCTGGATGGGTTTCTTCATGAGTCGTATGAGGTGTTGTCATTTGAGAGACAAGCTCATGGTGGTTAAAATAAAACAAGGGCTTTGACAAGTTGCTAAACCCATAAAAATATAAGTGCATTATCACCAAATTTTAAACTCTGAAAACATCCTCATTTCAGGTTTCATGCTCCTAAACTAGTTCAGGGTCCCCAGCCCTTGCCAGGTGCCTGGTCTGCAGTGGGTAGTGAGCACAGCTGTGTACGGGTTGCCCACCAACCTGGAACTTTATTGCTCTTTATAAACTGTGATGCCAGTCCAAGTTTCACAGCAGAGTGTGAGCACGCTTCCACCCTTGTCCTAAGTCACCCCAAACATCAGGGAGAATAAGAAACAGAAACAGACTCTGTGCAGCATATCATTTCTTTGACATGTACTTTCTTTGACCTTGTCTTCTACTTTCTGCAAGTTCTTTGTTCTTCCAAGTTCTATCTTTTCTTTCATGTTGCGGGCCTTCCGTATGTCTGGTCATCTTTGACTCTTCTTTCATTTTGTTTTAAGTCAACATTGCCGAAGCCGGTTTGGCTCAGTGGATAGAGCGTCAGACTGCGGACTGAAGGGTCCCGGGTTCGATTCCAGTCAAGGGCATGTACCTTGGTTGCAGGCACATCCCCAGTAGGAGATGTGCAGGAGGCAGCTGATCGATGTTTCTCTCTCATCGATGTTTCTAACTCTGTATCTCTCTCCCTTCCTCTCTGTAAAAAATCAATAAAATATATTTAAAAAAACAAACAAACAAACAAAAAACATTGAGGTATAATTTGTATGTAAAATGTACCCATTTTAAGTGTAGCATCAGTGAGTTTTGATAAGCATATTATGTATGTAACCACTAGCCTTGCCATCGCCCCAAAGGATTCTCATGTCCTCAGCCTCACTCCCAGTCAGCTGTCGGCCTGTTTCCATCACTGCAGCGAGGCCGCGAGAGTTTCACATGATAGAACCATGCAGCGCCCAGCCTCTGGGTGCGCCGTGCTCACTTCGGTAATGCTCTGGACTCGTGCTGGACGTGCAGTTCTGTGGCCAGAACTCATCCTGCCTTCCTGAGTGGCTTCCATTGTGTGCACCAACCATAGTTTATTCTGCTGACGGACACGTGGGTTGTATATAAATTTTATATTTACATGAATATAGTTAATGTGTATTTTATATACTAAATTATATATTTTATTTTATTTTTTTAAAAATATATTTTATTGATTTTTTACAGAGAGGAAGGGAGGGAGATAGTTAGAAACATCGATGGGAGAGAAACATCGATCAGCCGCCTCCTGCACATCTCCCACTGGGGATGCGCCCGCAACCCAGGTACATGCCCTTGACCGGAATCGAACCTGGGACCCCTCAGTCCGCAGGCCGACGCTCTATCCACTGAGCCAAACCGGTTTCGGCAATATACTAAATTATATATTTTAGATTATAATTTATAGCCTCAAGAGAAGATGGTGTATACATCCAATAAAAACAGGGTGCTCTAAAGAGAAAGAGAACAGTTGGAAAACATGGATAATTTTAGAAATTTAAAATAGGGTAGAAAATATTTTAAAATTCAATAAAGTATGGAAGATATTCAAGGAATTATCTGAGTAAAACTTTAAAAGTGAAATAGAAAACAGGAGAGAAATTGAAATGGAAAATTAGAGAGCAGATTCGGGAGGTCTGAAACTTAGTAGAGAAAAGAATGTGAGGGAGGGAATGACCAGGCAGTGGCACCAGGGCCTGTCAGGACTGAAGAAGGTGTGTCTGGGTTAAAAATGCCTACCAGGCCCCGAATGTTGAAAACACCTGTCCTGAGACCCATCGGGTGAAATTTCACAGCACAGGCAATTCAGTGAAGACTCTGAAACTCAGAGGAGGGCACATCCACGGACCAGGGATGAAATGAGTGTGGAGATGCTCCGCCACACGGGAACGTGAAGGCAGTGGGCAGCACGTTCAGTGCGGGGGAGAACTTTCCTACCCAGAATGCTGTGCTCAGCCAGGCTGTCAGTCCAATGTGAGGGTAGGAGGAAACTTGTCTCAGCTACAGAGTCTCAGAAAAACTTTCTTCCCCACATCCTTTCTCTGGACGGTGGTGGAGGGTGTGCTTCACGACAGGGGTGTGAATTGAGAAGAAGGGAGACCTGGGGTCTAGGAAACAGGTAGGGTCCAGCACAGGAGAGAAGTGAAAGAAACCCCACTTGGCTTATAATGAATACTGCTCACAGGATATGGATTTAATGATGCAGAATATGGATTTAACCAAACAAGGAGCTAGACTGATGGAGCACAGAGAGCATGAGAGTTGATAGAATTGAGTTGAGACCCTCACCCCTAGATAGAAATCTGGCTGTTTCTGCATGTGACAAGTCAAGTAATACAGACAGGATGAAACAGCCTTAGAAGGTGAGGGTGAATTTTATGTGAAGTAAATTTTACCACAATTAAGCAAAAAAGGTGAGGAGCCAGATGATTGATCAAATGTTTTATCTATCTATCTATCTATCTATCTATCTATCTATCTATCTATATAAAGTACTGTCCTGGCCGGTGTTGCTCGCTGGTTAGAGCATTCACCCGCAAACTGAAGGATCATGGGTTCAATTCCCAGTCAAGGGCACATACCTGGGTTGCAGGTTCTATCTCTGGCCCCAGTTGGGGCACCTGCAGAAGGCAGCGAGTCAGTGTGTCTCTCTTGCATTGATTTTTTTCTCTCTCTTTCTCTCCCTCTAAAAAACCAATAAGAAAAAAATGTCCTTGGGTGAGGATTAACAAAAAGGAAAGTACTTATTTTAAAACATTTATTACAGCAAATGTTAGAGGAACAGAAATTTCTGAGAGAGAAACTCAGAGATGGCATTTTGGTGTGAGTCCTTCCAGGTATTTTTGCACCCACACAGCACTATAATGATTTTGGTTTGTAGATGGTGGAATTACTTACAGAAATGTCACCCTAGTGTTAACATGGCTTTTTCTCTCATGTAGCAAAATATCACTGGCACCTTTCATTCTAATAAACATGGAACTGCCTCATCGTACTGGGTGCCCAGAGAGAATCTGCGTACGCCTGTGCCACACTCACCGTAACCCGTCTCTGTTGGTGACCCCTAGGTTCCCTCCCATTTGCCGCTATAAACACCACCACAGTGCGCGTACTTGCACATAGATCTTTCATGTATTTTGCTGGTTATTTTTAGGACAAATTCTTGGATCTGGAATTGCTGAGTCAAATGATATGCACCTGAAATATGCTTTATTCTTTACCTCAGCAGTGTTTGCTCAGCTGGGATTACAGGTGATATGGTGGGAGAGACAAGGCATGCATGTCAGAGATTAATGGTTTCTGTGGAAATAGGCTGAAGGAGTGATATAAGCAGTAAACAGAAGGAGAAGGGGCCGGGGACTGCTGAGAGAAAGCCTTGTGGGAGCTATGGAACTCAGAGCTAGGAATTAAACATTGGGTGACATTTAGGTAGGCTGGGTCGGGGGTGAGGCCAGGAGGGAATGTCACTTGTGGGAAGGTGTGTTCTGAAGGTGGCATTTGGCTCAGCCCTTAAACTGGTAAGTTTTCCCAGCCTTTGGCCACCTGTTATTGCTCAGCCATCAGTTGTATTTGGAAACCCAGCTATTCTGGCCTTGCATGTGTGTGAACCGCACCTGGTGAAGGCAAACCAAGAGGGACCAGACCACGGCTCCCTTAAGGGCACAGCATAAAGGAGAGGGAGGCGGCAGAACAATCCAATCCCTGATTGCTGCTGAGGTAGACTCGTAGGAAAGGTAGAAGAGAACTTAAAACATAAAGCCTTAAAGGTTCTGGAAGTAAACCAATGAAATAACTCAGCCTCAGGGTGGTCCGAGATTTCTTAGAAAGCGAAAGCACTAACTCTGTGCCTCAGCTTGCTATTGTTGCCGTAACACACCACCACAAATTTAGCACTACAACGACACAAATTTACTATCTTTACAGTTCCCTTAGGTCAAAACTCCAGTGGGCTCAGCTGGGTCTCTGCTTCGAGCCTTACAGCACCAAAGTCAGCCGTCGGTAGGGCTGCATTCCTTTCTTGGGGCTTGTTGGGGCGGTTTCCTTGCTCATTCAGATTGTTGGCGAAATTTAGTTCCTTACCGTTTTAGGACTGTGCTCCCATTTCTTTGCCAGCTGCCATTTGAGGCTGGTTCTCAGCTTAGAAAGGCCCTCGCCTTTCTTGGCTTGTGGGACCCTTCCATCTGCAGAGCCAGCTGTGCCAGGTTGGGTCCTTCCATACCTTGGATCTCACCTTTCTCCTTGATCACATCTTTTTGACTCCACCTTCCTCTCTGCTTTAAGAGCTCACGTGATCATATTAAGACCGCTCAGATGATCCAGAATGACCTCCCATGTCACATCTGAGGATTCCATGACCCAGTCACATCTGCAGCCCTTTGCTGGAGATGTAATATATTCCCAGGTTCCAGGGATGAGGACGTGGATACTTTTTTGGGGGAGGGACATTTTTCTGCCTACCAGTCCCTAAAATTAAAAATCTAAAATAAAATCTAAAAATGTTTAAGAAAATGAGTAGATAAACCACAGATTGGGAAAAAGATATTCACAGCACATATACTGGACAGAGGGCAGCTGTACAGTAGAATGCTTACACACCAGCAATTAAAAAATCAATCCAATTTAAAAATAAGCAGAAGTCTTAATTAGACTCTTGATGAAGTTATAAAAACGGGCAGTAAGCATATGGTGAAAAGATGCTTCACATCACAGAAGTGCAAATTAAAACATCTATTAGAACAACAGAAATAAGCCCTAAGCTCACCAAATGTCAGCGGTGATTGCCATTCCTGCACGTTGTGATGGCTGTAAAATGGTGCAAGCACTTTAGAGAACTTAGCTGTGAAGTGAGACTTGTCCTCTGCTGTAACCTCGAAATGCCACCCTTAGGTGCTTGTCAAAAGAAAGGAAAACCTCAGTTCACAGAAAGACTTGAACAGGAATGTTTATAGCACCTTTATCTATAATGGCTCAAAGTGAAGCAACCCAAATGTCTACTAACAAAATGGATAAGAACACTTGGTGCATTTATACAATGGGATATATATATATATATAGAACAATATAGATGAATCTTAAAACATTCCACTTATGTGCAGTTCAAGAATAGACAGCAGTGATGGAAGTGAGGAAGTGACTACATAATGACCGGTCGCTGTGATGCGCACAGAGGCTGGAAGTAAGGGGAACTTTCTAGCCTGAGGGAAAAGTTGTACCTTGCTTTGCTGATGGTCACATGGTACATATGACTCTCAGAACTCAAAAGCCAAGCTCTTTGTATTTTATTATCCTGCTAGAGGCCCAGTGCACAAAATTCATGCACATTAAAAGGGAATTAGAGGAAATACTTCAATATTGCTATTTGCCCTTTCTCTATAATAGAAGTGTCAGAGATGAAAGTAAATTAGTAAAATGTATATGAAAATCTACCTCCTGTCAGAGTCTGGGGCACACCGCGGAACCCAGAATCAAGTCCCCACCCACCTGTGCCCAGACCAGGCTGGCCCCGTCAAGCCCTGCAGGGTGGAGGGCACAGCCTCAGGTCCCCTGTCAAGCCCTGCCGGGCAGGAGGGTGGCCTCAGGTCCCCCAGCCCTGGGGCAGGGGGCACAGCCTCAGGTTCCCTGGCCCGGCCTCAGGTCTCCCAGCCCCAGTGTGGGGTGGGGGACGCAGCCTCAGGTCTCCCAGCCAGGGCGTGAGGATGTGACGACCATTTGCATATTGGCTCTTTATTATGTAGGATACCGGAGGCCTGTTGTATGAATTCGTGCATGTGTGGGGTTCCTTGGGGTAGCCTGCAGGGATCAGGTCCCAGCTCGTGCCCCCAGGCTCACAGCCCCAGCTCACGCCCCCAGCCCCGCAGCCCCGCCTGGCACCTGCCTTGGCCTGGTGCCACCTGCTCACCTGCTCCACCATCCCGCCATGGTCCTGCTCTCGTCAGGGCCCATCGGGGCTGGCAGCGCCTCCACTGCCAACGCCACGTCGCTGACGTCCATGTTCCGTGCTGCCCCCTAGTGGTCAGCGCACATCATAGCGAGTGGTCAGACTCCCAGTCGAACTCCTGAGGGACAATTTACATATTAGGCTTTTATTATATAGGATAATAAAAGGGTTATATGCAAATCGACTGAATGGCGGAACGACTGGTCGCTATGATGCACACTGACCACCAGGGGGCAGATGCTCAATGCAGGAGCTGTCCTCTGGTAGTCAGTATGCTCCCACATGGGGAGCGCCGCTCAGCCAGAAGCTGGCTCATGGCTGGCTAGCGCAGCGGTGGTGGCGGGAGCGGGCCTAAGCCATCAGTCAGACATCCCCAAGCGCTTCCAGACTTCAAGAGGGATTTCTGAGAGGGATGCATGCTGAGGGGTCCTGGACTGCAAGAAGGCGCAGGCCGGGCTGAGGGACCCCCTTCCACCCCAGTGCACGAATCTCGTGCACCGGGACTCTAGTATCCAATAAATAATGAAGATTTAAGATATATGAGACGATATTACAAGGGATAATCAGAGAACCAAAGTTAATTTCCAGAAGTAAAAGTTAATTTCTAAATTTTAAATCACTAGAGAGCATTCTAAAAATCAAATGAGAAAGATGGGAGTAGGAACGACAGTGTGAGGCCCTCCAAAAAATTTTTTCCTCCATAAAGGCAATGAGAACACTGACAAAAAGGGTCAAAGTCCGTTGTTTGAGAACCCGAAAGCAAGCAATAGCCGAGCACTCGGGGGTGGTTATTGCTCTGCCAGAAAAGCTGCTGCTTCCGGTGCAGAACTTTGATTTGCCGTACATTTAATCAGTTCCATGGAGCATGTTTCTTCATGTTTTTCTGTAGTGACAAAGTGTCTTATGGTCGGTAGCATTTGCTGGTCTCACGGCAGTGGGTCATCTTTCTTTCGCAGTGTATTTTACAGAGGTACATGTTAGAGTCCGTGCAATAGGACCGTTTTCCCTGTAAGTCACTTATACCATTGAACTTCTGATTTTTATCATCTGTCCCAAAATGCTCAGTACACTAGGTGTGCATGTGGGATTGTTGGCTCTGTGCTCCATTCCACGGATGCAGAAAGCCCTTTGGGCTCACCTTCCCTGCAGCTAGGGCACTGCTGCCACGGTGTCTGGGGAGGGGAGGCGGTGAGTAGAGATTGTTTCCAATTAAAAAATCAGCTCCCTGTGGCAACAGACTGTGTAATTGCCTCATCCTTTTGAGTGTCATTTACTGTCTTTGCTCTTTGAGTGTGTGTGGAACACGACTAACTAGAGCCTGATTTTAAAGGATTCTTTTCTCCCATCTTGATTCCATAGCTTGTAGTGAGCTGCATACGCCATCGCTAGATCGGAAACCAAATAGTTTTGTAGCAGTGAGTGTGACCACCCCGCCGCAGGCATTCTGGACGAAGCACGCACAGACGGAGATCATCGAGGTGGGTGCCGCTGGCCCCCGGGGCTCGGGGACAGGCCCACCGCGGTCTCAGCCCGGGGGAGGCTGCTCGGCGACCTGAGCCCCTGTAGCCGGGATCATTCCTATGTGAATTCTTGCTGTTGTCCATGTGTTTTTAGTAAGTGGTATTTTTCATCACAGTTCTGGAGGGCACTGTTTTTGCCATGTCCTTTACAATCATTGGTCATTTACTGGCTGGGTATTTTTGAACAGTGATGCTATAAAGTTGGCTGCCTTTTAAGAGGAAGATCCAATTCTTCCTTGTCACTTCCAGTTGGAGAGTAACTCTTAGCCAACTCTCCTAGTGGACATAGCCCTGTTTTAATTGTTTTTTATCTTTATATCCTTTTGAGTTGTGTGTTACATACTTACTTTTTCATTGAACTAAATGTTATGCATTCACCTCGGGAATTTTACAGAAGCCGTTTAGATAATTGAGCACATTGTGTGAGTTGTGAAACTAAGAGTAGGTGTTGCTATGGGATTCCACAGGCTTCTGCTGGCGATGGGAGCTCCTGTGTGAATTGTCCGCCCTGGCAATCTCCAGCAGGCTCCACTGCACTTCCTCCTCGTCCCTAGCTTTACCTCCTCGGACACGCATTTGTTTAAGCTGCCATGAGCATTTGTGTTGGTCCAAGTTGGTGAGAACCCTAGCTTTACCTTTTGGAAGACAGACCTTTTCATTCTCTTGTAAACTTATTTCCAAGTTCAAGTCAGCACCTGTTTCTAAGCCTTTGTTGAGCGCTGTCTGTACACGCAGCACAGTGCTGGGCGCTGCGGGTGATGCAGAGGCCATTGAGGCCCCAGCACTGCCCCCAAGAGGTTGGCCATCCTGGGGGAGGGAGGATGAATGAAGGTGTCCGCATCTGTACCCAGCAGAGCGCAGGTGTGTGAAGGGTAAGGATGGCACCAGGAGGATGGGTTCCCAGCTAGTTTGAGGATTGGAGGTGGCTTCCTACGCCACTTAGTGAAGTTCTGACTCGGTAAGTCGGGTGGGGCCCAAGACATGGTTTCTCCCAGGCTCCAGGTCATGCCCACGCTGCGGGTCTAGGGACCACAGCTGCAGAGCATTGCAGAGTTCTGTAATGGCGATGGGGAGCATCATGTGTCTCGGAGAATAACGTCGGCCTGTTCATGTGTGCAGAAGGCACAGGTGGAGAGCAAGGGGAACGCCTCAAAAGTCAGGCTAGGAGTTTTACGTGAGCGTCACCTGAGCAGAGGTGCGTGAGGGACTGCGATGTGGCACCTGGCGCATTGGGAAGGAGGGGCAGGAGGGGTGCCTGTGAGAGAGGATTTTTAAATTTTGTTTTTTTGTTAATCCTCACCCGAGGACATTTTCCCATTGATTTTTAGAGAGTTCCCATAGATTTTTAGAGAGAGAGAGAGAGAGAGAGAGAATCATCGATGTGAGAGAGGCACATCGATTGGTTGCTTCTTGCACGTGCCTGACCTGAGCTGGGGATTTAACCTGTAACCCAGGCATGTGCCCTGCAATTGAACCTGAGACCCTTCAGTGCTCGGGCTGATGCTCTAACCACTGAGAACACTGGCCAGGGCAAGGGAGGGTTTATGGAAGAGTTTATTACAACTTGGAGGTTGAGAACGACAGAAAAGCAGGTAGCGAAGCAGATGCCCAAGTTGGTGGCCTCCTTGGGCAAGAGTCAGAGCTGGTTGACAGGGGCGGATGGAGGGAGGCCAGCGCTGTCCAGCAGGCGTGGAGAGACTGGATCTGGAGCTGCAGAGGGCGCTCAGCCAGGGCATGGCCCCCACACGGGCACAACCGTTAGCCGTTCGGCTGAGGTAACTAATGCTGCCTGAGAAAGAGATTTGTTATTGTGGGGCTTTGGGGGCCGGGGAGCGAGGCTAAGCTGCCAGGAATAACCACCTATGCTCTAGAAACTAGCAGTCCTCAAAAAAGGGATAGGCTCAAATAGGTCAGGCCTTAATTATTTCAAACCACAGGATTCCAGAAGTAAGAAATGACTTAAGCTATTCATTTCCTCTTCCATCCGCCTTGGCACACCTTACAGGACAGCCCAAAGTAGTAGACCCAATTGCATAGTGTATCTCCAGCTGAACGACACGCGAACGTCAGCCTGTTTCCATGTTACAGAAGCCTCCCACTGAGGGGGCCCTCGGGACACGCCTGGGCCCAGCTGTGTCTGGATCGGGAGGGGTCTGTGGGACGCCTTTGTTCTTGAAAAACAGGGTTTTCGTTGACTGCATTTGTTTAAGCTGCCATGAGCATTTGTGTTGATCCAAGTTGGTGAGAGCATTATTTTCTCGTTCTGAAATGAGCAATCACTTTAAAAATTCAACTCTGTGTTCTGAGGATTTTCTTTTCCGTTCTAGGGAACCAACAACCCTATATTCTTAAGCAGCATTGCCTTCTTCCAAGACTCTCTCATCAATCAGATGACACAGATCAAACTCTCCGTGTACGACGTCAAAGACAGATCTCAGGGAACAGTTAAGTAGCGCGTGGTTCAGGGGCCTTTCTTCGCTTCTTAAAGCTGGGCAGTCATTTCAGCGAGAGGAGCACATGCGCCTGGCTTCACTACTGGCTCACTAATTGATGTCCAGTGGGATTTGCCTTTGGAATTTCTTCCTGCACATCCCTGTTGGGCTCCTGCAGTGAGGGTCAGAGGTGCTGTGGGCAGCAGCCAGCGACCCTGGCCGGGTCATGGGGCCGAGGCACAGCACGGGCTCACGCTGTGTTCCCTCTTCCTCAGATGTACCTACTGGGCTCTGGGACATTCATTGTCAAGGATCTGCTCCAGGACAGGCATCATCGGTTGCATTTAACACTAAGGTAGGTATTTCATTTTGTTCCTTTGAGAGGATCTCGAGTTCTGAGGTCCCGGGACTGATGGGGAAGGGCCCCATTTCCTGCCTCTCCCAGAAGCTTGTCTTAGCAAACAGCCTGTCAGGGGGCTGATGGAGGGGGCATGTGTGGCATCCGCAGGAAATCCAGCACAGCTGGACTCAGACCTGCAGGAAGACCTCGATCACATCTGATCGGCGAGATGAGTTTACAGTGTCTGCTTCCTCCCCAACAGAGTGTCGGCTCCCAGAAAGCAGGGCTTTTGTCTGTTTTGCTTCATTGCTGTATCCTGAGGCACATAGAACAGGCTTGGGGCTCAATAAATATTTGTGGGGGCGGGGGGACCCCCCACCATGTCCCTGGAAGAAAGATGTCAAGATGGCAACCCTTCCCAAATTCATTTTAGGGGCAACTCCCACCCAACCCCTGACTTGGTGTTCTTGTTTTCAAAATAATGTGAAAATTGGGAAAACATTCCAAAATAGCAAAGGAAATGTTGGCAAAGAGGATTAATTCCCTGCACTAATTCTCTGCAGCCATGGTGATAGCAGTGCCGCCGGCATCGGGCAGGACAGGAGCCCTGCAGGCGCTTGGGGGATGTGGAGACCTGACTGGGAGAGAGGAAGAGTCCTGGGGAAACGAGAGGGTCATGGGGAAAGGGGTCGTAGAGGAAAATACCCAGGTACACGATGTGCCGGAGCAATCCTAGTTGGACCGCGCACATGTAAGAAGTGGACAGGATCCTCTGTAAGAGAAGCTGACAATGGCTGTTGGGATAGTGTGGGGAAAGGACTTTCCGGGCATGAGGACACAGAGTCACAGAGGCAGGTGGCACAGTAGTGACCACAGGAAAGGTGACACTGGCGCGGTCAGTCTTCCATAACAGTCCCGGCGTCCCTGGGTGAGTCACATGGGCCCACGCAGTGCAGCCCCCGCGATCTTAGGGGGAGCCTGACGGGTGGATGGCAGCAGCTGTGCCATGTCAGGAATCAGAGGCTTTGGGAAACCCGCCATGGCCTCAGCTGACTTAGGGTCCAGGCCTCGGCCTTGGGGAAAATCAAAGCTTGAGGCCGGGAAGGAGCAGGAAGGGGCTGATCCCAGAAGAAGGTTCTCTCCAGTCCTCCTTTCCAGACTTGTCCCCATTGCCGTGTGGGCAGGGGTCAGCCCAGGGGAGCAAGCACTGGCTCCTCCCCTCAGGTCCCCAGACACGCTCGCACTTCTGGGGCTTGGGTTCCCTGTCTGCCTCCCCTGGAGTCTGGGCGTGCAGCAAGTGCTGCCCGACTGGCCCACCGGCCAGGTCCCGGCCCGCCCTGGACCTCGGTGACAGATGCTGAGCTTATGCAGAAATGGAGCCCAGTCACGACGCCACTTCCCAAAGCGCGTTGCTCGTTGCAGGTCTGCAGAGAGTGACCGTGTGGGTAACATCACGGTGATCGGCTGGCAGATGGAGGAGAAGTCAGACCAGCGGCCTCCAGTGACCCGAGCTGTGGACACCATCAACGGGAGGGTGAGCACCCCCTGCATGGGAAGGAGTGATGGCCTCTGTCTAGATGGGCTCTGCCTCTGGCGCAGGGAAGGAGCAGATGGGCCTGCATGTCCACCCACCATAGGACCTACCAGTCCCCCGGGCGCTTCTCAAAGGGGAGACAAGGGAGCCCCTCAGGCTCTGCTGCCCTGGAGCCTGCCTCTGCCCAGGCCACACTGGGCCACCTCTCCAGAATGGGAAGAGGTGGGGGGAGCCTGGCCAGGGAGGGGCTGCAGTCAGGAAGGGAGAGGAGTGTGGAGGGGGTGCAGTCAGGAGGGGAGAGAGGTGGTGGGAGTGCAGTCAGGAGGGGAGAGAGTTGTGGAGGGAGGGCAGTCAGGAGGGGAGAGAGTTGTGGAGGGAGGGCAGTCAGGAGGGGAGAGAGTTGTGGAGGGAGGGCAGTCAGGAGGGGAGAGAGTTGTGGAGGGAGGGCAGTCAGGAGGGGAGAGAGTTGTGGAGGGAGGGCAGTCAGGAGGGGAGAGAGTTGTGGAGGGAGGGCAGTCAGGAGGGGAGAGAGTTGTGGAGGGAGGGCAGTCAGGAGGGGAGAGAGTTGTGGAGGGAGGGCAGTCAGGAGGGGAGAGAGTTGTGGAGGGAGGGCAGTCAGGAGGGGAGAGAGTTGTGGAGGGAGGGCAGTCAGGAGGGGAGAGAGTTGTGGAGGGAGGGCAGTCAGGAGGGGAGAGAGTTGTGGAGGGAGGGCAGTCAGGAGGGGAGAGAGTTGTGGAGGGAGGGCAGTCAGGAGGGGAGAGAGTTGTGGAGGGAGGGCAGTCAGGAGGGGAGAGAGTTGTGGAGGGAGGGCAGTCAGGAGGGGAGAGAGTTGTGGAGGGAGGGCAGTCAGGAGGGGAGAGAGTTGTGGAGGGAGGGCAGTCAGGAGGGGAGAGAGTTGTGGAGGGAGGGCAGTCAGGAGGGGAGAGAGTTGTGGAGGGAGGGCAGTCAGGAGGGGAGAGAGTTGTGGAGGGAGGGCAGTCAGGAGGGGAGAGAGTTGTGGAGGGAGGGCAGTCAGGAGGGGAGAGAGTTGTGGAGGGAGGGCAGTCAGGAGGGGAGAGAGTTGTGGAGGGAGGGCAGTCAGGAGGGGAGAGAGTTGTGGAGGGAGGGCAGTCAGGAGGGGAGAGAGTTGTGGAGGGAGGGCAGTCAGGAGGGGAGAGAGTTGTGGAGGGAGGGCAGTCAGGAGGGGAGAGAGTTGTGGAGGGAGGGCAGTCAGGAGGGGAGAGAGTTGTGGAGGGAGGGCAGTCAGGAGGGGAGAGAGTTGTGGAGGGAGGGCAGTCAGGAGGGGAGAGAGTTGTGGAGGGAGGGCAGTCAGGAGGGGAGAGAGTTGTGGAGGGAGGGCAGTCAGGAGGGGAGAGAGTTGTGGAGGGAGGGCAGTCAGGAGGGGAGAGAGTTGTGGAGGGAGGGCAGTCAGGAGGGGAGAGAGTTGTGGAGGGAGGGCAGTCAGGAGGGGAGAGAGTTGTGGAGGGAGGGCAGTCAGGAGGGGAGAGAGTTGTGGAGGGAGGGCAGTCAGGAGGGGAGAGAGTTGTGGAGGGAGGGCAGTCAGGAGGGGAGAGAGTTGTGGAGGGAGGGCAGTCAGGAGGGGAGAGAGTTGTGGAGGGAGGGCAGTCAGGAGGGGAGAGAGTTGTGGAGGGAGGGCAGTCAGGAGGGGAGAGAGTTGTGGAGGGAGGGCAGTCAGGAGGGGAGAGAGTTGTGGAGGGAGGGCAGTCAGGAGGGGAGAGAGTTGTGGAGGGAGGGCAGTCAGGAGGGGAGAGAGTTGTGGAGGGAGGGCAGTCAGGAGGGGAGAGAGTTGTGGAGGGAGGGCAGTCAGGAGGGGAGAGAGTTGTGGAGGGAGGGCAGTCAGGAGGGGAGAGAGTTGTGGAGGGAGGGCAGTCAGGAGGGGAGAGAGTTGTGGAGGGAGGGCAGTCAGGAGGGGAGAGAGTTGTGGAGGGAGGGCAGTCAGGAGGGGAGAGAGTTGTGGAGGGAGGGCAGTCAGGAGGGGAGAGAGTTGTGGAGGGAGGGCAGTCAGGAGGGGAGAGAGTTGTGGAGGGAGGGCAGTCAGGAGGGGAGAGAGTTGTGGAGGGAGGGCAGTCAGGAGGGGAGAGAGTTGTGGAGGGAGGGCAGTCAGGAGGGGAGAGAGTTGTGGAGGGAGGGCAGTCAGGAGGGGAGAGAGTTGTGGAGGGAGGGCAGTCAGGAGGGGAGAGAGTTGTGGAGGGAGGGCAGTCAGGAGGGGAGAGAGTTGTGGAGGGAGGGCAGTCAGGAGGGGAGAGAGTTGTGGAGGGAGGGCAGTCAGGAGGGGAGAGAGTTGTGGAGGGAGGGCAGTCAGGAGGGGAGAGAGTTGTGGAGGGAGGGCAGTCAGGAGGGGAGAGAGTTGTGGAGGGAGGGCAGTCAGGAGGGGAGAGAGTTGTGGAGGGAGGGCAGTCAGGAGGGGAGAGAGTTGTGGAGGGAGGGCAGTCAGGAGGGGAGAGAGTTGTGGAGGGAGGGCAGTCAGGAGGGGAGAGAGTTGTGGAGGGAGGGCAGTCAGGAGGGGAGAGAGTTGTGGAGGGAGGGCAGTCAGGAGGGGAGAGAGTTGTGGAGGGAGGGCAGTCAGGAGGGGAGAGAGTTGTGGAGGGAGGGCAGTCAGGAGGGGAGAGAGTTGTGGAGGGAGGGCAGTCAGGAGGGGAGAGAGTTGTGGAGGGAGGGCAGTCAGGAGGGGAGAGAGTTGTGGAGGGAGGGCAGTCAGGAGGGGAGAGAGTTGTGGAGGGAGGGCAGTCAGGAGGGGAGAGAGTTGTGGAGGGAGGGCAGTCAGGAGGGGAGAGAGTTGTGGAGGGAGTGCAGTCAGGAGGGGAGAGAGGGGGTGGGAGTGCAGTCAGGAGAGGAGAGAGTTGTGGAGGGGGTGCAGTCAGGAGGGGAGAGTTGTGTTAGGGGTGCAGTCAGGAGGGGAGAGAGTTGTGGTGCAGTCAGGGGGGAGAGGTGATGGGGTGTGCAGTCAGGGGGGAGAGAGTTGTGGAGGGGTGCAGTCAGGAGAGGTGAGAGGTGTCTGGGATTGGGGTTGGGGAATGAGACCCAGACTCTCTTTGGTATTTTGTTAGAACCTCCCTCTCCCAGGCACTCAGGCGCTCATGGTCACCTCATGCACACACATCTCAAGTCTGCACACGTCCTGCCGCCTCTCACACCCCCTCTCAGGCTCTGTCTTCCCATCCCCCCCCCCCATGCTGTCTCCTCACCTTCTCTCTCACTCTCATGTTCAGAGACAATCTGTGCTCTCAGACTAGAATTCCAATTTAGAACTCAAGCGCTGGTATATATCATTTTAAAATACAGAGATAGGTCATTTTACCCCAAATAAGCCCAGAACGTCAACTACGGAAATATTTCTGGGTATCGTTTTCCCTCCCTTTTACTTTACACGTCAAAACACTGAAATATGAGGTGAAATGACGTCGTCAAAAGACAGGCATTTCTGGAAAATTTTGAGTGGGACACGTCCACTGTACTGGGACATGGGTTGAGCAGTCGGTGGCCTCGGTGACCTGTTCATTGTGGAGTTGATGGTGCCATTCACCTTAAGAGCTCCTTCATGAGGTCTGGCGGCCACCACCCCTGCGGAGTGCGCTGGGCTCACCTGAGCCTATGGCTTCTCGTGCTTTTCTGTACGTCACTAGATGGTCCTGCCCGTGGACGAGAGCTTGACCGAAGCGTTGGGAATCCGATCCAAATATGCTTCGTTGCGTAAAGACACTTTGCTGAAATCGGGTAAGCGGATTCCTCCACGGTCCTCTTGTTCCTCTCGGGAGTGTCCAGTCGGGCCCACAGTCACCCTTTCCACCCACTTCTGTGACTGTCTCTTGCCGACATTGGCCTTAGTGGCTGCTGGCCTCGCTGGCACAGCCCTTGTATTTGGGAGTTGGTGGTTCATTCGGGGACAAGGGGATTGCATGTCCCAGGGGAAGAGCATTCAGGCTCAGTCACCTGGAGGGCTCTGGGTTTAAATGTTTGATTGAGATGAACAGTCAGGATACTTGGGGGCGTGGGGAGGAGGTCTACAGCTGCTCACGCAGTCTCCGTCTCCCCTCCCTCAGTGTTCGGTGGTGCCATCTGCCGCATGTATCGCTTCCCCACCACCGATGGCAACCACCTGCGGATCCTGGAGCAGATGGCGGAGAGCGTGCTCTCCCTGCACGTGCCCCGGCAGTTCGTGAAGCTGCTGCTGGAAGAAGATGCTGCCAGGTGAGGCCCACGTGGAGCGGCTGTCCGCCCATCATGCCCGCGTCGCCTGCCTTCTGGAAAGCTCTTAGATGTGTGTGGTGGACGGAGCACTGGCCCCAGATAGGCCAGATGACAAGCCAGCTTCCGCCCTTGGCTGCTTTGTGGCCTGGGTGTCCGAAGCCTCCGTTTGCTCATCTGCATCCTGAGGTTTCTGTGCAAAGATCTCACAAGACAATGTGCCTGGAGCACTAGACGTGCCCGGGACTCGGCCCCCACTCCCTTCCCTCTCCTTTCACCACCCTCTTGGCCTCAGGAAGTTAAAAGTAGCTGGTCATTCTTTGGTGATGGCTGCCAGGGTCAGCCGTTTCCGTGGGCAGGGCCACAGTGATATGGGCTCCAGAAAGTTAAGCAGGACCCATTGGGCATCCTTCCAGCTCAGGGCATGTGCCACTGGTCCCCAGGCAGGGAGGAGCCAGGGTGGCTCAGCATGTAGGTTGTGTCTCCCGTTCGCCCTTCACTGTCATTACTGCTTCTTGTCATAAAACGATGTTAATTACAGACACAATATAACAAAAGCGTGAACGAAAACATTGCAGCCAGAATCCTACTGTGTTAACACAACTGTTTGTTTTTAAATTTTCATCTTAAAAAATCGAACTTAAAAGAAAAATGACAAGAAATAAATGCAAAGAGCTGCTTTCTCTCTATTCATACATCTTTTATATGTATTTTAATTTTTACATTTTTCCTCTCAGCTTTTTTATATCTGGGCCTTTATACATAGCTACCCTATATCTTCACTTTTCTTATCATTTCTAGTTAGGGCATCATTTCTCACTGTTGGCACTAGGTATGTGCTCACATGCACTGTAACTTTAAAGACTGTTCACGGAAGCATTTTGCTTTCGAGGGTTGTGCTGTTTTCCCTCTAGCCATGTGGCAGGTGCTATGCTCAGTGCGAGGCTCCTTGATGAGCGAGATACCCTGGGAGACAGTCATTAACAGAACTGGGGGCCACACATGGAGCCCCAGATGTGTCAGCAGAAAGTAAAAGGGGGCCCTGAGAGGGAGGGTGGTCTGAGCAGGCCTCTGTGACATTAAACTGACCCTTGAAGCATAAGAAGGAGCCACATGAAACACAGGCAGAGACATCCAGAGGGAGCACAGGGTGCGCGTGAGCTGAGGCTGGGGCCAGTGGGCCTCTGAGCGAGGATGCTGCTCTCCCGCAAGCCCCACAGCCTGGTCTGCACGGGGTGTTCTTTTACATTAACTTCTCTGATCCTTACCCAAAGATATGTTTTAATTGACTTGGCAGCGAGAAGAAGGGAGAGAGAAACACAGATCAGTTGCCTCCTGTACATGCCCAACCAAGGATCGAACCTGCAATCCGAGTATGTACCCTGACCGGGAATCAAACCCACAACCTTTTAGTGTACAGTTCGACGCTCCAACCAACTGAGCCACACCAGCCAGGGCACATTAATTTTGCTAATATAATAATAAAGTAGTACAATGTTTTTTTAACATCAGACAACTTAGTAGATTCCTAAAAACTTCTATAAATTAGGTTTTTTCCCTTCGAAGGAAAATGTGCATAGTATAAAAAGCTAAATACTGCCGAAGGCGGTTAAAAACGTAAGTCTCAGGGTTTCCATGTTAGTGTTAACTGCTGTATTTCTAAGTACATGCGCAGAGTACTTTTAATCAGTACTGATTTCTTATAAAATGAGGATTTTAGGTCTTTTATGCTTTCCTGCTCCCCAGGTTCCTAAAACGGTTATCCTGTTTTTTTGTTTGCTTGTTTTTAATTCGTCTTGTGTTTTGTTGTTTTTCTGGAGACAACAAATCATAGCAGCTCCTTACAGGGCTCCAGCCCCTCGTGTTTGGGAGGGTCACAGGAATTCTGCTCTGCCCAGGCCCAGTGGCTGCAGCTTGAGCCTTCGCCCATGTGGTTTCTGTCAGGAGCCAGGGTGTCGGGCCAGGGCAGAGCTGCTCTCCTGTCCACTCCTCCACTTAGTTTGCCTCAAACATTTGGCTGCGTTTCTGTAAAAAGCTTCTCTGTGCGCTTGCCCTGTGGTCGGGTCTGCGTCTCGTGCAGCCCTTCCTCCTGGAGGGCCCGTCACGCCCTGCTGCTCCGCTTAGATTCCGGTGCGGGCCCCCCTGGCATCTCTGTGCTTCTGTGTGCACTTGGTTTTCTGGTGGTGCAGACCCTGGTCCTCACGCCTGTGTTTTGCTTGCAGAGTGTGTGAACTGGAGGAGCTGGGGGAGCTGTCCCCGTGCTGGGAGAGCCTCCGGCGCCAGATTGTCACTCAGTACCAGACCATCATCCTCACGTACCAGGAGAACCTGACCGACCTGCATCAGTACAAAGGTGGGCACAGGTCTCTCCATCACTACGCGCACGCTTTCGTGTTCCCACTGGGACTCGACCCAAGGAGCGCTCAGATAGTCACACTGGCAGACACTCAAATGGGTTTTTCAAAATAGATTCTCATGGAGGTGTGAATTCTCTAAAATTTAGATTTTTCAGGTCCTAATTAAGAAGGCAAATCTGTAAATTACATTGAAAATTCCTTCCGAGGAGCCATGTGCCAAAATAACCACTGTGCGATGAGATTTCGGAGAGACCAATGGCCTAATAGCAGTGAAATGCCCGAAGGATGGAGGCCCTGTGCCTTCGACAAGCACTTTTCTCCACTTCCCAGTTTAACAGTGGCATTTGCATTGAAATATAGATTGAGTGGAACTCGTTATTTTAAGGCTCCAAAGGGAGATGGAGTACAGACACCTCATCTTTTCTTGAAAGATACCCTTTGATTTTCAGAACACTCTCAGGGAAGGTTTAGAAGACTGTTCTTAACCTACTCCCTTTTTATTCCAAACGGAATGATTTTGGGGGGTGGGGGTGGAGGCGTTCCATTACTTTATTCTCTATCTTTAGATTTTTCCCTCCTTCTGCTCTTCATAATGAAATTTCAGGCTTGAAAGAAAATCATAAGCCCTTACCGTACTTTTGACCCAGAACGTGTGAGCATGCCCATGAACTTGGCTGTGGAGAAGTGAACACAGCAGTGATAATAAGATGCTGGTGCCCTGGTTTGCTTTGAATCTGAAGAATAGATCCCAGTGTATTTCTAAGAGAAAAGGCAGCATTTATTTGAAGGAATGTAGGGACCTACCAGGCTGGATGCCAGTTACCTGGGAGAGCCTGACACCACACAGCCCGAGTTTTCTGGAGCAGAGCCTCTCAATGTCACCGTGTCTAAATGCCCAGTCTTACTGATAGCAGATTCTGCGATTCCAGCAGGCTCCCCGCTGCTGGTGCCGGGGCCGCCGTACGTGCCCAGTGAGCAGCCTCGTGCAGAGCGGACAGTGCCTGCCTTTATTTTGTATCCTGGCAAAATAAATCTTCCTTTCTTCACCGCTTACCGCTTCTACCCTGGTTGTCAGTGTAGTTTGTAATTCCTTTCTTTTCTGGGCATGGAGTTCCTTTATTAGTTACAGATTTTGACTGTGGAAATCAGATCACAGATCTTTGTCACACAACATCGTCCACCTGCTAGACCACCCAGTGTGCACAGGGGAGCCTGTTTGAGTTTGTGTTCTAGTGGCCAGAACTGGTACTGCCCAGCACCTGTCCATCCCCACAGCCCGGGTGGTGAGCAGATCTTGCCATCACTTTTCAGGATTGAGAAGTGCTGCCCTAGTTGAACCAGTCCCCGAGGTCTGGGATGATGGCAGCCTCTAGAGCTGGAGCAGGCAGTCCTGACGTGGGCCTGGCTTTTTATAGTGCTGCTGGCACCCTGTAGCACAGAGCCTCCTGCTGTGTCAGCCTCTCTGTGAAGAGCGGAGTCATGGGTGGGCAGGCATCCACCGTCCCTCCTGAGGCTGCCTCCCGCCTCCATTCCCCACCTACACCCAGAGCCAGTCTCCCGGCCAGCGGGCTGCCCTCCTTTAGCGCCTGGAAGTGAAATGCGCTTGTAGGTAATGCAGAATTGCCAGGGCTGCGACCACCCATACCTGCTTTCTGAGCAGCATCCCCACAGGACCCCTTTCTACTGCCATTCGTGAGTGCGGATACATGTTGATGCCCTTTGTTTTTGAATATTCTGTTTCTTAGGTCCCTCGTTTAAAGCGAGCAGTTTGAAAGCAGATAAAAAGTTGGAATTTGTTCCCACAAACTTGCACATACAAAGAATGAGGGTTCAGGACGATGGAGGATCAGGTAACTGCGGCCCCTCTTGTGGAACCCCTGTCACTCTGTTCCCCTGTGCACGTGGGCCCTGCCCTGCCCCACATCTGCACCAGCCTTGCCTGCATGTCCTGCTGGGCAGCTCGATGAGAGTCACATCTCAGGACCTTTGTAAGGTCTTCATTCAGAGCACAAACCCCTTCCTCTCGTGTCTCCTCCGTCCAGCTTCCTTTGTGTTTCTGTGGCAGAAAGCTGCCCATCCGTCATCCTCCCCAAGTAGGGATGCAGGCTGCGTGTGGCTTTCAGCCCCGTGTGGCTTCACCCTGGGAGGTTAGGGGCCCTTGGACAGCCCAGGCTGTGGGGCTCAGGGAACCGCAGTCTGCGTGGACCTGGGGGAGGGTCAGGCCCCAGATCTGTGTGCATATCACTGTAGCTGGCTTGTCCGCAGGCCCAAGCCCAGGGTAATGAGGGAGAGCTTTCTGTCATTCAGATCAGAGCTATGACATCGTCACCATTGGGGCGCCAGCCGCACACTGCCAAGGTTTTAAGTCAGGAGGCCTCCGCAAAAAGCTGCACAAATTTGAAGAGACCAAGAAACAGTAAGTTCCTGGGGGGGGCTCATGGTCCTCGTATGGCTGTGAGATGCTTCCTGGGTTAAAACATCAGAACATGAGCACAAACGCACCAGCCCTTCAGCCACTGCTGCGTCGTGAGAGGCTGCCTACTGCCCCTGTGCTGCTCTGTGCACCGCTGGCGGGGGCGGGGGCGGGGGGGCCAGCTGGTCAGTAGTCCTGCCCCTGCACATGGAAATCACCTTGAAGGCGGTGCTTTTGGCAGCTGCCCTGCGTGGACTGCTGGCTCTGCTGTCCGTGAGAGTCGCTGGCCAGTCTGTGAACGTCCCCAAGTGTGCAGCCTGGGAGAGGCTGTTCCTTTCCTAAGGGATGTTGTGGAGAAACATTCCCAGTTTCAAAAAGGCTTGAGGGGCTGCATGGATCTGCCGTGCTGAGCAGGAAGCTGCCAGGCAGCAGGTGGGGAAGGCCGGTGCAGAGCACAGTGAGGTGCACCTGGAGGCACGGGGTGCTCTGGGGAGAGGAGAGAGGAGAGCTGGCCTCAGTGTGGGGCCGACAGATGTGGCCTGGCCTGAGGAGCTCTGGGCCTGGCGTGAGCAGGGCGTGCGTGGGAGCAAGCACACGGGGTGCTGTGGAGCGTGCAGCAGGGGCGGCGGGGAGAGACGTGCGAATCCGAGCTAGTGCGTTGGGTACAGGGGAGGTGATCTTCCAGAATGTCAGGATTTAAATCGGTGAAGGGATGGGCGTGTAGGAAGTGGAGGTGGTGAGTGTGGAGGGTACTCTGAGATCCTGGGACCTGAAATAGAGAATGAAAGGCTCGAGCTTGGGGAGGACGATCATGATGTGAACATTTTGAGGTTGAACGGAAAGATGGAAGTGAGTGAGGCAGGTGGAGGAGAACATGGATCGAGCAGGTTCTGGAGAAGATGGAAAGAGGCAGGGCCAGGCAGTGAGCCAGGGGTGTGGAGAGCGGAGGCTGCAGGCAGAGTTTTGAGGTGGGAAGGCGCAAGCTGAGGTTTGGTGGAACCGCCCTGCAGAATGTAGAGTTGGAAGGCCACACTCGTCCCTGGGAATGGAACGGTCTGAGGGAAGGTGAATAAGAGGCCCAGGGAATGAATGGCCAGGGAATCCCCTCCAGTGGTTGGGTGGAGAGTGAGCAGGCGCCGGAGCCAGGAGGCCCTGGCCTGGCTCTGTGCTGTCGTGGCTGGGAGTCAGGACGCGGCTGGAGAAACGGACCTGGGGCTGGACCAGGGATGGATGAAAGGTCAGGGGCAGTGTGGGGGCAGGGATGCCGCTAGGAGTGTCGCTGGCCATGGCGCTGAGGCTGGAGGGGACAGGTGAGGAGGGGAGTACCGTGAGGAGTGTCCATGCAGATGGCTGCGCAGGCTGCCCTGAGCCACGGAACTCCTGGAAGCGGGAGGCGGGGGAGCCGGGAGGGCCTGGTGTGGAAGGGGAGCTCCAGCCTTGGGAGGGGGAGGCTACAGACAGCCTGCTCCACCTCGACGCATCCCCACCAAGGGCCCTTCCTGCTCAGACAAGCCAGGTGGCCAGGCCCGCTGTGGGCCCACTGCCTCCGGTGTTCCTCTGGACATTGTGACAGCTCCAGGCTCCTGTCCCACGACTGCACAGCCAGCAGAGATCTGCGTGTGTCACACTGCTGCACGGGGTGTGTGGAGTATGAGCGTGCGATTGAGTGTGGCACGGGGCCTTGGAGGGAAAAGCCAGTCAAGAGGGGTGCCCCCAGCTGTCCTCGTCCCAGGAAGGCCGGCGTGCTCATGCCCGATTACGCCGCGTGTTAACCTCAGAACATCTCAGCCCCTATATGCCTTTGTGGTATTTTTCAAATATATAATATGACTTTTTCTGTAATGTCCTACTAAAGTCATAGACACTGATGGGAGCGGTTTTCCCGTTGAAACTTCCTTCAAGTGCAGCCGCACCGTGCCCACCGGGGATGCGCCCTGGGCATGAGCACCCGCGAGGCTGTCGGGAATGAGCACTGGGCTCATGCGTTAGTTGTCCTTCAACTATCAAATTCAAGTGTTTTGACAAAACTGGGCTTTTAAATTTTTGGTTTGCATTTGTTATTTGCTAACACATGCTAATATTTCATTTTGGTTCTTTTCTTTAGCAGTTTTGAGGAGTGTTGGTGAGTTTTCTGTCTGTGCAGAGAGTCTGTCTGGGTCTTGCTCTCATGCAGAGAAAGCCTGTGCTGTCCCCTCCCCGAGAGGTGCTTCAGCCTCGTGCGCTGTGGGCTCAGAGTTAAGGCCCCCGCACCGTTCCCTTCCAACTGCAATGTTCTTGGATGATGAATAGCAGCCTAGTCTCTGCTTTGTCTTTACAATCCGAGCCTTTGTTGCTGTGCTCCCCCGAGGGCAGACCTGGTCTGCTTCTCCCCAGGCCAGGAGCTGGGATGTCCTGTCCACACTGAGGGGGACTGAGATCTCTCCGGCTCTATTACAAGAACCTCAGGGCTTGTCAGTCTCCACCGCCCCTCACCGTCACCTTTTGGGGAATGAAGCCAGCTTACATTTTCATGATACTAAATAGTTTAGGCATAATTTTAAAACAGTGTTATTAGTATTAGTTTTACCAAGAATTACAATAACCAAGTGACCTTTTCCACCAAAGAGTTAGATGGCAGCCAGAAACCATCATGTCTGCTGCCCAGGGTTCCCCTGCTGCTCCAGGCCCCAGGCGTGCCCAGAACGGGGCTTTGTAGTGGCACTCCTTCAGTTGGCAGCCCCAGAGGCACCGCCAGCCTTTGGGATCGCCCCCCTTGGAGCCGGTGAGGCTGAGGCTGGGGCTGGGCTGGGCTCTGTCTGAGATGCTGGGCTCTGCGGACGGACGTCCGGCACGGGAAGTCCTGAGGAGCCCTCCCAGGCTTAGGCCTCGCGGCTTTCTCTGGTGAGGACCGGGCATGGGCACACGTGCTCACACCTTCATGGTCACCCCGAAAGGCAGCTCTTTGAAGCTACTCATGTGCTCCCTGTGCAGAAGGCCCAGCTTACTGTTAGAGGACGTGGCCTGTGAGGACAGGGTGAGTGGGCAGATGCTTTTCTGGGGCACAGGGGAGGTACATATGTGTGGAAGCGTACATCTAGGTACACACATGGGTATCTGCGTACAGCACACATTACGTGTGTGCTCTAAACATCGGGGACTGGGAGGGTTAAAGGTTCTTAAACTCTATTTTGAGATTGTATTTTTAAGATTAATTGTCTAAAATGGCAGCTATTCATTTGGAAGAGGGATTGCAGGTTGGAAGGTCGCCGTGTGCACCTGGAGCTGTGGGAGGTTCCCGTTGGACCACGCAGGCTGCAGCGCAGGCTGCTGCATGGCTTCTGGCAGGTCTTTGTTGTGGTGTGTGGGCTTGTGGTGTGCTTTCCTTTGGGGGTGCTTTGGGTTTTGCTTTTTGCATGCTCAACCCATATTTCATCCAGGGAAGGGGTGGGGCAGTTTTGTGTTGACTTGGATAATGAATAGCCAGCCCTGGAAAGAGCCCATTGGGGAGGTTCTCAGCCCTGCCCAGATCACCCCCATCCCCAGAGAAGGTGATGGAGGGTGTAGCTCTCCACCTTCTCTCTCGTCCTCCAAACCCAGTGGGCAGCTCTGAGGGAACCAGCAGGGCCCCTCATTCAGTGAAGCAGGGGACACCCACTCCAGCCAGAGCCCACGACTCCCGGCTGTGGGAGAGACCTCTGCATTGGTGCCTCATCCTTCCCCTCCCTGCTTTCCTTGGCTTCCACACATGGTCTGAAAAACCTGTTTATAATACCGGGTTGATTTGGGATCTTAGCTGAGAGACATGCAATATACCATCTCCGTCTGGAAGGGCCTCCATGCCAGCAGGCCCCATGCTGCCGGGACGCTGGCTGGCTCTCCGAGGCTGGTATTTATGTCCAGTAATGGCTGGGCTGTAGCTTTGACCTCAGATCTCAAGATACACACGCTGCTTGGTGGCAAGGAGGCAGGGTGGGGGGAAGAAGCAGGTTTCCAAAGCTCCCAGGTTTGAAGTGTCCAGGGCGGCCTCTGGCTTGGCACGCTCTCCACCTTCCCATTTCAAAGTAGGGAAGTCCTGGAGATGGGAGGGGAGGCAGCCAGGTCTCTGAGGATTTGCTGGGGTCAACACGGGAGGGAGGAGAGCTGTGGGTGTGGGCACAGCAGGTTTGAAGTCCCAATTGGCCAAATGAAAACTCAAGGATCCTTTTGGCAAAGTCTTGCACCCTGGGAAGTCTCCCTTAACTATGACAAGCGGACCCCTTTGGCATCAGCAGACCCCATGTCTCCACCTAAGTCCTGCTGAGAATTCGACAGTGGGGTAATTTCTGGGTTTAATAAATATTTGCGCACAAGGTCCATACACATGGTACAGATACAGATACAGACAGATATAATAGGAGACTTAATGTATGTTAATACTTCCGGCTTCTGCCATACAGACAGGAAGGCTCTCCTTGATATCCCAGCCCAGGAGCACGTCCCTGCGTGGCATTTTGTGTGGGCCGCGGGCTGGGTGGAAGGGTGCTGCCAGCCTCATCGGTCTGTTCTTACCTTTCTTAGTACGTCATCCAGCTGCCAGTCCATCATCTACATACCACAGGATGTCACCAGAGCCAAGGAGATCATCGCCCAGATCAATACCCTGAAAACCCAAGTGAGTTACTACGCAGAGCGGCTCTCGAGGGCGGCCAAGGACAGGTCTGCCACTGGCCTCGAAAGGACACTCGCCATCTTGGCAGACAAGGTAGGAGGGCGGCCCTGCTGCGTGTGGGCGGGTGCTCCCTCGGTGCGGCAGAGGATGCCCAAAGCCGTTCACCCAGTGGGTGACATGGGGATGATCTGGAAGGTGAGCTTCAGATCCAGTTCCCACAAGGTGCAGGGGCTTGGTGATTTGCCCGTGGTCACAGGCCAAGGACAGGCCAGGGCTGTGACGGCCGCCGCTGCTCCCTGCACAGGAGGCTCCCAGCAGGGCCAGAGCAGTCCCGTTAAGGCCTGACAGTTCCACGCTTTCTTAGTAACCACCCACTCAGCACATTTTCCCCACGGTTCACTTGTACTTGGAATTAAAAAAAGAGAAAGCGAGTTATTATACAGACATAACATAAGAACAGTATATTTTATTGGCTTATATATAACCAGTAAACCAGCCTTTCATTGATGGCAGTTTGATCCTGATTTAAAATACATAAGGATACATCTGCACTGGGATGTGCTACCTCAGGTCCTTTTGATGGGTGATACGTTTTCAAATTACTGATCTCTCTGTCCTTCGCACACACAGAGAGATTCTGCTCACACTGCCCTGGTCACAAGCACTGTGGGGGGAGGTGCTGTTCCTGAGCAGAACACGTTCTGTCCTCCCCACGGGTCACCACCAGTCACGGGAAAGGGAGCTGCGAGCGCCTGCGCACACGGAGCCCCCAGAGCTGGGGCCGGGCCCAGGAGGTAGCTGCAGAAGATAGGCTTCCGTGACTAAGCCAGAGTGAGGATGGCGCCTGGATTAGAGGGGACAGACAGCCCTTCGTCCTTGAAGGCTGGGGCGCGGGGCCCTCTTTAGGCCCTTCCTTGAGCGATGTCAGCTCAGAGGCAGGCACACGGGCTGTTAGAGGTTCCTCATCCTCCCTCGGTCTCCCATGTTCTCCAGTCTTCTTGGTGGGAATTCTGGCTAAGGGTCCCCAGGTGGGTCACGAGGCAGTCCAGGCTCGGCGTCCTGCGGGCTGTGGAGGGGGCGGAGGGGCAGTGCTGGGCTCAGGCAGGTCCGAGCTCTCAGGGAGGACAGGCCTGGCAGTCCCTGGCTTGGAGCTCAGTGGCCCCGGTGTGTATGCGCCTGCAGACCCGGCAACTGGTCACCGTCTGCGACTGCAAGCTGCTGGCCAACTCCATCCATGGGCTGAACGCGGCGCGGCCCGACTATATTGCTTCCAAGGCCTCCCCCACCTCGACCGAGGAGGAGCAGGTGATGCTTAGGAATGACCAGGACACCCTCAGGGCCAGGTGGACGGGCAGGAACAGCCGGTCTTCTCTGCAGGTGGATTGGCACGAGGAGGAGTGGGTGAGTGCTGCCCATTGCCTCGTTGTGCTGCTGAGCTCGGGGTGAAACTAGAAACGTCCCACAGCTGCTCTCCCTCAGGAGGGCCTTTGCAGAAAACTCCGAGACCCCTTCCAGACGGCTGCGGGGCCACCTCCTGTCGGGAGGGAGACAGCATTTCACCACTGTGACCCTCGGAGGAGCGGGCTGCTGAGGGCTGCCCACTCTCAGACCCGGCTGTAAGGGGCAGCTTTCCCCTGGAGCCCTCAGTCTTCGCCATGCCTCACCCGCTCGCCCTGACACCACAGCACGTTGTCCTCAGAGTTGTGCCTGAGAGTGGATCTGTGTCTCCTGAGAGAGGGACATAGCATAGAACTGGTTTCATCAGGTGTCCAGACTGTTGAGAAGCAGAGTTTGAGTTACTGAATTACGGGCAAGCGCTGCTTCATCCCTGATCTGATTGGGCATCCCTCACCTCCTCCCACCACCCTCAGAAGGGGTCAGCTGTTTCCATTCTCTTCTATCCAAGAGACCTCAGTCCATTGTGTGTGATGCAGGAGGTCGCAGGGGAGCGAGGGCAGTGCCACTGGCTCCCTGGGGCCCTTGTGTTAGCCCTGGAAGGGGCCAGGAAGCCCTATCTGGCCTCCATCACAGTTACTAGCAAACATCTCCCAAATTTTAAAACTAGCAACCTGGGACATAGATCCATCCTTTGAAAAGCAAATACAACTTAAATTGTATTTGGGGAATTACGAATCCTATTGATATTTCTAAATCTTGTGTTTTGATGAGCATGGTGTGGGGTGGGGATCAGTGGGAGATGGTTTGGTTTGTGATCTGTTCTGCCTTTCCCATTGGAGAGCTGACCAAAATGAGCTCTTTTGCTTTTGGAAGGAGAAAGTGTGGCTGAACGTTGACAAGAGCCTGGAGTGCATCATCCAGAGGGTGGACAAGCTGCTGCAGAAGGAGCGCCTGCTCGGTGAGGGCTGTGAGGACGGCTTCCCCTGCTCAGGCAGCGGCACCAGCAAGAAAGGTAACCGGAACAGCCACGCCTACTGGATCAGACCGGAGGACCCCTTCTGTGATGCCCCCTCCTCACCACGCCCCGCCTCCATGCCCGCTGCTGCATGCCATCCTCACCTGACCACACGTGCGTATGCATCAGGCTTCCCATCACACTACCTCCACCTCATGCTCCATCTGTGTGTGTCTTGACTCTGTGTCCTCTTCCCCCATGCAGACTGCAGGGAGGGCTGTCGGCAGAGGGGGTGTCGCCGTGCATGGAGCAGCAGGCAGTGAGGGCAGAGGCGCCTGTGTGTGCAACTGCAGGTCTGGCTAAGGTGGGCTCTGAAGGGCCTCTTGGATCACGCTGCCACAGCAGTAAGGGTCAGGCTCCTGGGCTCCTCTGGTTTGTGAACCAATCTGAGAAGCAGGAGGAGGCCAAATGCACGTGCATTTCTGATGAGGCTGTGTATTGTGCTAGGTCAGGAGCTGGTAGAGTCGAGGACAGATGACCGGTGCAGGGAGAGCTGTTAGCGGGCCCAGCGGACTTGTCGGAAGGCCAGTTGTCATTAGTGGGCGCGCTCATCCAGCAGAGGCACGGTGCCTTAAGGGTGCGGTAACTCGGTCTGGTGGTGGCACCTGTGCCTCTGGGGCTGAGTTCGGTTCCTGTTGTTACCACCAGGGTGGGGCTCTGGGGGGTGGAAGGACCTTGGCACGGAGCAGCACACTGCAGGAAGAGTCTTCTGTCTGCGGAACGGGGCAGGCAGACGCTCGGCCCTGCTCAGAGCCTTAGGGCGTGATCGATTGGCTGGTCTCTGCAGCTCGGAGCCTCCAGCTCTCACAGGAAAAGGCTTGGGCCGGGCAGCCGAGACCAGGCTGCAGACCGAGCTTCCGTTTCCTCCTGGCTCTCCTGTGGGGGTACGGAGCCACAGGAAGTGAGGCCCAGCTGTGCCAGGGTTAGGCTTCCTACAGCCAGGACTTTGAATTCTCAATTGGGCAACTCTCATTCGAGGCAGAGTCATGCTTCCTCCTTCAGAGGCTCTCGACAAGCCCTCACTGGGACGTGCCTTTCCCATCTCCGTCTGCCTGCAGTCTGTTCACTGGGGCCTGTCTCAGCAGCACTCACGCCCTCCACGCTTCCATTTGTGAGGCTTACAGCTAGTTCATGGAGCGTTTCTGTCTCTGTGTTCTCATTTTTAATGTAAGTTGCGTTTCTTTAAAAAATGTCTGAAAACTCATTGCTCATTTCTCTTTAATATTGTCTTGCTTGTGCTTTAAATTTTTTCTGCAGATACAAAACGTAATTTCTTGGATTTTTAAAATGCAGGAGATAGTTTATTTAATCAGATTGACCGTTATATCCATAACTGAAATGTAATTTTTTTCTAGATACATCCTGTTTTGTTCAAATGTAGACAAATTTAAGTGCAATTTTTAAAAAATGTATTTTATTTATTTTTTACAGAGAGGAAGGGGAAGGGATAGAGAGTTAGAAACATCAATGAGAGAGAAACATCGACCAGCTGCCTCCTGCACACTCCCTACTGGGGATGTGCCCGCAACCAAGGTACATGCCCTTGACCGGAATCGAACCTGGGACCTTACAGTCCGCAGGCTGACGCTCTATCCACTGAGCCAAACCGGTTAGGGCTTAAGTGCAATTTTAAAGTGATTTATATGAGCATTTGTTTAGGGTTTGACTTGTAATCATGTGTGCCACATGAATGAGCGGTGTGATGGGGATGTGCAGCACACACTGAGGGAGGCTGCTGCTGCCAGTCCTCACAGACTGTGAACCGTATGCCATTGAGGCACCTGCCGTGATCCTTAGCCTGGAAACCCAGCGCATCGCCAGGACGCTGTTCGACCTCGGCAGGAGCAGGGGGATCAGAAAGAAACTGTGTTTTACTCCCCTCTTGTCCTCCAGGGCCAAAGCTGGGCCCTGGCATGACTTCTGAGACCATTGGGCGTTCCTGGGGCAGGTGTGCGGCCTAATGAGCAGGTTGTGTTCACACCTGCATATTTACTACCTACAAACTCCCTGCCTCTGTGAAAGGCATCGTGACTTTTTGTTCCAATTCTCTGCCCACCCTGGGTTCTCCTTTTCCATCTTTTACCAAGGAGCTGCCTGCCTCTTAGCTCACTCTCCTGCAGAGCTGAGCAGAGCCTTGCCTGGCTGGCAGGGGGCAGGGGGGACCCACTGCCGGCTCCATAAGTCTCTCTCCCACCCCCCGAACCCGCGCCAGGATTTGTGACTTCCATTACCTTCTACACACACACTCTCTTGCTTTCCTCATCCCCCAAAAGTCATTCAAACCAGGACCAGGTTGTCCATAAGCTGAGGTCTGTGGGTCGCACCCAGGTTTGTGTGCCCGAGATTATGTGTTAAAATAAGAGAAAGTCTGAAGTGGTCATGAAATCTCAGCGGACTCCGTGACCTACAACAAGCAGCTGGTCCAAGAGTACCCCAGGGGCCCACTCCCTCTCCCCTCTGATTAAAGACGCCTTCTCAGGAGTGGTCCTGACCCAGCTGTCTGCGATCGCCACAGAAGGTCACAAACAGGCTCCCAGGCCTCCTCATTCAGACCCCAGTCTTGGGAAGGCAGAGAGCTGTATTTTTCTCAAGGCCTCGTCATTCTCATTAGTCAGACAGATGTGGAAGAGCCGCTCTCATCCCCACACCGGACAGGGTCACTCTCTCTGTAGGTAGATGGGCTCTGACAACGAGGCTGAAGTCTGAGCTTTCTGAGGCCTGTGATTTTGCTCTGTTTCTGTGCCCTTTGCCTGGAGAGAGAAATCATCAGCAGAGGTGACAAGAAGGGTAGGATCCCACACCACGATTTTTGGACAATTTCACAGGTTCTGAGTCTCCCTGTAGCCGGTCGCAGCCATTCTTGGGGATCTGAAATGATCTATTTCCATATCCTGGAGGCATTCTTTGAACTAAACAGTTCAGGCAGCAAAATAAAATAAACTTTTATTCCAAATGATCTCTAGTTTTCTTTTAGGTGACACACCCAGTTAACAGGAAACAGGTTTTTTGAGGGAAATGTGAAATTGAAATGATTACTTCCCAGTGTGACCCAATGTGGGTGAAACTGAATCACAGTTGTTATTTTTGAGGGACCTGGAGAGCCATTCTAATTCTAGACTTGCCCCTAATCATAAAGTTTTACATTGGCTTGCATTTTAAAGAGTGGCACAGCGGGTCCTGGCGTCCTGGCGTCCTCCCTGGGTCCTACCTTGGGGTCTCAGCAGTCAGTCTGCAGCCCAGCGCCGCCCATCAGCAGGGCAGTGGCTCTGCGGTGGGACCTCCGGTGGCTGGCTGGTCAGTCTCTCTCATTTCAAGTTTGCTTCCAGATGTCATGAGCCAACAGGGGCTTCATCACATGTAATGTGACAGACGTGGGGTCGCCATCACATTGTAACATGTAAGCGTGCTCACCCCGAAAAGCATTCTATGTTGACTTATTAGCAACATGAATGTTCACGCCTGTGAATCGGGCTGTGTTTACCACCAAGGGGCTCGGCTGCCTTGGAGTAGCCGGAGCACGTCCGTGCGACTTGCTGGGGAAGAGGCAGGCCGGGCCCCCTCTTCGCTGTCCAGGATAGCCACCGTACTGCAGGCTGTGGAAGCAGTTGCTGCAAGCGTTGAGTTTGGTGCTTGAACTGTGTGCTGCTCTTAATCATCCATGTTGCCCTCCGTTTCTGTGCAGATTGCAGCCCCCCTCCTGAAGAATCCAGCCCAGGTACGTGGTTTCCGCCCCAGGGTCGCAGAGGGCTGTCCGAGACTCAGCTAGCATGTGCAGTCTGTTATCAGAGCACTGTGCTCCCAGTTACACCATTGCTGTCTAGGAGTTCTTCATTGTGAGGCACGCAGCAGCTTTTCTGAGGCTGGGTGAGGGACCCGTCGGGCTGGGGGCGGAGGCCTGCAGCCGCCATCATGTGCATTTTTCCACGCTCCCACCCTAAACCCGTCTCAGAGGATTAATGTCTGTGAGTGTATTGGGCTTCCGGCAGCGGGTCACCTGCCTGGAGAGAGGTGCACGTTTGTAAAGGAGACCTTTAATTTCACCGGGACTTCGGAGCGTCACCAGAGGGAGTGTGTTGGGTGACAGGGAGTCCCAAAGGCTGTGACCTTCGTGGTCACACAGACTCTTTTCTGAGTCTGGATGCAGCTCGAAGCGCCAGGCACTGGTTGCTGTGGCTCCCCTTGGAGTGAGCGCTGGACATGGGGCTTCTGCCTTTGCACGTAGAAATCAACATTGACAGCTCTAGTTCAGGGGTTGGCAAACCACAGCCCTGAGCAGAGTCCTGCCAGGCACCTGCTCTTGTCAGTACTGTTTTCCTGGAATCCAGTTGTGCCCATGTGCTCCTGTGGCCTCTGGCTGGTTTGGCAGGGCAGGGCCAGGGTCAGTCATGGCAGTGGAGATCCTGTGGTATTCAGAGCCTAAAGTGTTTCCTGTCCAGGCCTTGACGGGAAGGTGCCGACCCTGCTCCAGCTCTTACTGTGCTTCCTGGATTGGCCTGTTCCCAGAGTGAGCATGAGACCCCAAATAATATGTCAGCTTCCAAACTCCAAACAGCTGATGATCATTGGATGGTTGCACACCTGCCTGCATGTAAACATGAGCTAGCAGGACACCTGCTCTGTATCCAGAGGGTAGCAAACCAGCGATCGTGGGACTTACCCACTTCCTGTCAGCTCACCTGGCACTGTGGTTCCAGCTCAGCCACTGGGCGACTTCTGGCTGCAGCCCCAGCTCCCATCCACCTGACTCGTCAGTGGGCTGATCTGACTGGACTTATCATACCCCCAGTTTGCTTTCAGCCCCTTATATAGTTTCTTTTTCCCAAAAAAGTCCGTGTGGGGTCTCACCCCCCCAGTGCCCTGGACCCTCAGGGCCCTGAGGCCTTGGTGGACACACAGGTGCCTTGCCCCCGTTGCCGCTCCTGGCCCTGCCCTCTCCTCCTCCCTCCGCTGTCTCTGGGCTTCCCATCCTCAGCTTACCTCCAGGGCTGGTCTGTGCCTTCATGCCGAGCTGCTTCCTTGAAGCCTGAGTTGGAGAAGTTCAGGACCACACCCCACAGTCAGGACCGGAAAAGGGGCGGCATCACAAGCCTGCCCCTAGGAGCTCAGGGCTGTCCTCAGCACAGTGTCCTTCAGCTTACTGATGGGAAGGCTAGTGGGCCCCGGGCGGGCACACACCACACCGGCTGGCAGAGCTCTCCCGGCTCGGTCAGCTGTGACCTTTCCCGAGTGCTGGGGGCTTGTCCAAAATTGATGTCCAATGGACTGAGCCAGGAATCCCTTTGGCTTTTCCTGCACAACCTTACAGGAGTCTGGATTCACGCACACAGGCACACTTTACCTCTCAGTCTCCCTCCCTCCCTCCCTCCTTCCCCTGTTAATGGGGGGCGGGGGTGCAAAGGCATGGCCCATGGATTGGCCACCAGGCAGCACGTGTTACAGGTTAGCAACTAGGTAAAGAGCTGCCCTCAAAAGTGACTCGGCTGCATCACGAGGGCATCTGTTGGTTGCTGCTGTTTTCTTTTGTGGCCAGACAGCCCCTCTCCAGCCCTCATGTCTAGATGCCTTGACCTAACTGAAGGTCATTACTGTCCCTGATGTTCATTTTGTCTGAAAGTTTTACACTTTAGCTTCTCATATTGACCCAAAACATGTAACACCCAACCCCTACTCTGAAGCTCTTGACGTCATAGAAACCATGAGGAGCTGAGTCAGATGCGTGTGGAGGTGGCAAGTGCTCCCGTGTCTCCCTCAGCCCGCTGAGCCCTTTTCCTCCCCAGCCCATCACCCCAGCTGTGGGTAGGTGAGGAGATGGTTGTGGGTGAAGCGTGCAGCAGGCCGTGCGCAGGCAGCGGGGGCTCAGGCCTGAGCTGCACCCTCTCCTGCACAAACTCCGTGTGCCTGCTAACCATGCTTGTACACTCCAATTTCGTCAGTGGATTTTAATAAGGTAGCAAAGCTGAGTCATTCTTTGGATTTTTTTTGAATGAGAAGTAGGCAAAGTAAAAAACTACTCTATGGAGTGGGCTTGCTTAGATAGGACCACTGATACTTTGAGCATTTTTCAGGTTAAAATGACCATAATTTGCATATTAATTGCATATGTATATGCATATTAAGTGAAAAGAAAGTAAAATTGGCAACATTTGCTCTAAGAGGACTTACTTTTTCCTGAATAGTCGTCATGACACCACTTTTTCCCAAACTATTTGGGCACTAAAACTTCGTTGCCATCAGCTTTTTTAAATCGTTGCAGAATATAACTGACATGCATTCAACAGACTTCAAAGAAATAAAAACGTGGTCTCTGAGAATTTTAGAGGAAGAGACTCGGGTGTGATTTAGTACCAGGCTCCCATTTTACCAGGAAGGACCCCCCCACCCCCCCGGCTGAGCGGTCGAGGAACCCCTGCTCATTTTCCACTCGTTGGTCCCGTGTTCTTTGTCACCATAACTTATTGGCTAAGACCGTTCTGCCTTGACTTTCTAAATTTAAGCCGGCTTTTTCCATTGCAGTGTAAACCCTTGTCCACATACAGTGGGCCTACTTACACAGTGAGGTCATGGCCAAATTTTGAATAGCTACATCTTCAAAAACCCATGCTCATCAAGCACTGAGAGTAGGGGTCTTTCTGCAGGTTTTAGGCACTTCTCTCATTTCTTTTTCAATCAAGTGCTGAACGCAGAGTCTGAGAGAGCAGAGCCAGGGCCAGGCCTTCTTGCTGTGTTTATCTAAGAGGGAGCTCACCTCTGGCAGATGCACTGCTCACGCTCCGGGCCTTCCTGGAGGGCGGGGGCACCTGAGGGCATTCTGCGGCTGACACCCCGGCCAAAGCTGCTGCCCAGCTTTGTCCCACTGCCTCGGCTGCGCGTGTGTGGTGGGCGCACCCAGTGCTGTTATCAAGTGCCTATTTCTGGGTTTGGTAACCTGTGAAAAATGGAACTGATGAGGAGGGCGTCTTCGCCCTTTTAAATGCCCTCTAAATAGGAAGGAGAAAGAGCTAAAGCCCCAAATTCCTTTCACTCTGTTTTCTCCCCTGAGGTTCTATTTTTAAAAAGTTGTTTTGGTTCAGGGTCAAAGCTTCCTTCTAGTCCTAAAAACCTCTACACTAGAAATAGATGGGACCAGGCAGGAAGGCCGGGGTGGGGAAGAGCAAGTGCAGAAGGAAGGGATGTCTGAGCTGAGAACACGGAGGCTGAGCGGAACCATCCTTCCTCGGACGTGGGGAGGGAGCAGCTGGCACAGCTGCCAGAGGCTGGACCAGGAGGGGTGCCCTTGTCCTTAGCGCCTGAGCCAAGAAGCAAGGTAACAGGTCACTGTCCTGGGCGCCCTGGGTGGAGGACCGGGGGCTTGGCCTCTACAGACAGAATAATTTTCTTCCTTAGTCATGACTTGCAGGGCCTTCTCTTGCTATTTCCCTCAAAAAGTATAGTCTTGAGTGTTTACATGTCGGGCCCCCGCAGGTTTGAGGGACCAGGCATGTGTCTGGGTCCCAGGGGAGGGCTGGCATTTGAGCTCACGGGTAAGTTTTAGGCTGGGAGGTTCCCAGCAGAGTTAGGTGCAGAAGGGGTGGGAGTGCAGTGGGGAGGGCAGTGCGGGTTAGCACAGGCACCCTGTTAGACTCTCAGAGCTTCCTTTTTCGAGCTCCCTTCTCACATGCTGTCTCCCCGGGACAGGTGAATGGAGTGAGGCCCTTTACCCGCTGCTGACCACACTCACAGACTGTGTGGCCATGATGAGCGACAAAGCCAAGAAGGCCATGGTCTTCCTGCTCATGCAGGACAGCGCGCCCACCATCGCCGCCTACCTGAGCCTGCAGCACCGCCGCGACGCCGTCTTCTGCCAAACCGTAAGCCCGCGCCTCCCCTCAGGACACAGGCACAGGAGCCTTTCCTCTCTGCCTTGGGAACCACAGAGGGCCAAGTGTCCTGCCTGTTGCTTTTGCATTTATGTGACATGGAGGACACAGAGGAGCCCATCCAGCTGTCTGCACTGAGGAGAAGGTCTGATGCCAGACTAGTTGCTCCCTGAAGAAGGGCCCTGAGGGCAGGCACACACCTGCTCCTCCTTCCCCCAGGGTGCGGTGGCATTGCCAAAGGCTCGGCCTCTCTACCGCCTTTTCCCCACAAAGGAGTTCAGTGAGGGAGCCAGCTGTTGGCTGTCAGGGCAATCTGTCTTCCTGTTTACAAAACAGCAGGCGCTCAACTCTGCAGCTTGCGCACCACTCTGTCCAGCGGTTCCTGTTGTCCCCATAGAAGGGAAGAGCTAAATGAATGTCACGGGTGTCGTCGATGTCAGTCATCAGTTTAGCAAAGGGAACAGTCGTGCAGAGCTGGCTGGTTCTTGCCTGTCCTCACCCATCCCGGGAGGCCTCTTTCTCCCAAGGAGAGTCTCCCTCGGAGGAGACGTGCGGAGCGGCCTAGTCCTTTCTCGCTGCTGTTCCTTGTTGTATCACCTCAGTTCCAGCCAGAGCTGGCCTGGATCTGGGAGTATATAGACCCTTTCATTGTAGGGAATTAATTCTTGGCTTCTAGGAGGTACTAGCCCAGAAGTAACTGCTGGGAGGTCAGGTCAGAGGCTGAGCCAAAACCAAACGTACCTTTGGGAGCATCAGAGTAGTGAGCCTGGAGCGTGGCACGCCCTCCCTGGAGCCCAGGCCCCCAGGCCCCCAGGCAGAAGGTGCTGCTGAAGCTTGGTTAGAGCGAGGAAGCAGAGGAGCTTGGGCCCGGGGTACCTGCCGTTGGGTGAGGAAGTGCCTGTCCCCACAGCTGACTGCTCTCATCTGCGGCTTCATCATCAAGCTGAGGAACTGCCTGCACGACGACGGCTTCCTGCGGCAGCTCTACACCATCGGGCTGCTCGCCCAGTTTGAGAGCCTGCTGAGCACCTACGGTGAGTCCCGGGGCTCTTGCCTCTGTGCCTCTGGGACCCAGGGGCTCTTGGGGGTGTGAACACCGGTGATCCCATGCTTTCTTGCTGCATATTTTTCTGATTACACATGTAACACAGGCTGATTCAAATAAATCCAGCATGACCAAACTCTGTAGCAAAGAGCCAGATGAGAGTCCTACATAGTGACCCCGACCCCAGCTTTATGGTGGTTGTTACACATCTGGGAGATCTTCCTAGTTGAGGAGGGATGATGGCTATCTAAGCACCAACTTCCTGTAGGACGTTTGGGCCATTTCTGAACCCCTCCTGTGAAAACAGTGCTGGTATGTATCTTTGCACATAAGATTGTGCACTTGTGGGCCCATTTCTGCAGCCCCTGAATCATTAGGGGAAAGTGTCTGTGTCAAAGGAACTGGCTGGTGTGGCTCAGGTCGTTGGGTGTTGTCCTATGTACCAAATGCCCAGGTTGCAGGCTTGAGACCTGGTAGAGGGTGTGCAGGAAGCAGTAGATATTTCGCTCTCACATTGATGTTTCTCTCTCTCTCTTCCCCTCCCTCCTCTTTCTTTAAAAATCAATAAAAGTATTTTTTTAAAGAGTAGGAATATTTTAAAATTCCATAGATATTTCCCAATTGCCCTCGAAAAAGGCTCTTTTCTCCTTACCTCCATTTTTACTTATTTCTTTGGAGAAGATAAAAATGAATAATTTAAAAAGTATTTGTTGGTTTCACACCAGTATCTACTTGGGGAGAAGAAGCAAATTGCCCGGTGAAGAGGCTTGGAAAGGCCCTGCCCACACGCTCACTCCCACTCGTCACAGCCACACCTGATTGTGTCACCTTCCATTTGCACCCCACCCTGTGACCGGGTGAGTCCATGGGGAGAGTGGCAGGTCCCCTCCATCTGACGCCCTCCTTCCCTCTTTTGCGTCCAGGTGAGGAGCTGGCCATGCTGGAGGACATGAGCCTTGGAATCATGGACTTGAGGAACGTGACCTTCAAAGTTACGCAGGCCACTTCCAACACATCAACTGACATGCTGCCTGTCATCACAGGAAATCGGTAGAAGTATTTTTTAAATTCTTAGAACTAGTAGTGTCTTAAGTTTATTACTTTCCATGTGCTCTTTTTTTTTGAAATCACTTAAAAAATTTTTTCAATTACACATGACATACATTGTTATATTAGTTTCAGGTGTCCACCCAGTGATTAGACATTATATAATTTACTAAATGAACATCCCAATAAATCTCGCACCCATCTGACACCATACATAGTTATTAGACTATTACTGATTACATTCCCTATGCTGTATTTTACAGCTCCATGACTATTCTATAACTACTAATTTGTACTTCTTAATCCCATCACTTTTCTCACAGCCCTCCCACCCCCCTCCCACCTGGCAACTGTCAAAATGTTCTCTATCCGAGTCTGCTTCTCTTATGCTTGTTCATTTATTTTGTGGGGTTTTTTTTACACTCAGTTGTTGATAGGTAATTATTTATTGCCTTTTATTATTTTTTTTATCTTTCTTCTTCTTAAAAAAGAACCATTAACATCTATAATAATCTATAATAATAAAAGTATAATATGCTAATTAGACCAGACAGACAAACAACCTTCCGGATGTCATTCTGGATGTCCTTCTGCATGAAGCCTCAGTGGCAGGGGCTGAGGCAGAGGCAGTTAGGGGTGATCAGGCAGGCAAGCGAGCAGTTGGGGGCAGTCAGGCAGGCAGGCAAGTGCTTAGGGGCGATCAGGCAGGCAGGCAGGCAGGTGAACAGTTAGGAGCCAGCAGTCCTGGATTGAAAGAGGGATGTCCAACTGCCGGTTTAGGATTGGGCCTAAACCAGTAGTTGGGCATTCTAATATGCTAATTAGACCAGACAGACAAACAACCTTCCGGATGTCATTCTGGATGTCCTTCTGCATGAAGCCTCAGTGGCAGGGGCTGAGGCAGAGGCAGTTAGGGGAGATCAGGCAGGCAAGCGAGCAGTTGGGGGCAGTCAGGCAGGCAGGCAAGTGCTTAGGGGCGATCAGGCAGGCAGGCAGGCAGGTGAACAGTTAGGAGCCAGCAGTCCTGGATTGAAAGAGGGATGTCCAACTGCCGGTTTAGGATTGGGCCTAAACCAGTAGTTGGGCATTCTCCAAGGGATCCTGGATTGCAAAAGGGTGCAGGCCAGGCTGAGGGATGCCCCCAACCTGTGCGTGAATTTTGTGCACCGGGCCTCTAGTATCATATAATACTGATTTGATGGTGATGAACTCCTTTAGTTTTTTCTTGTCTGGGAAGTTCTTTATTTGTCCATTGATTCTTAAAGATAGCTTTGCTGGGTAGAGTAATCTTGGTTGTAGGTCCTTGTTTTTCATCACTTTGAATATTTATTGCCAATCCCTTCTGGCCTGCAAAGTTTCTGTTGAGAAATCAGCTGACAGTATTATGGGAGCTCTCTTATAGTAACTAACTGCTTTTCTCTTGCTGCTTTTAAGAATCTCTCTGTCTTTAACCTTTTGCATTATAATTATGATGTGTCTTGGTGTGAGCCCCTTTGGATTCATCTTATTTGGGACTCTCTGAGCTTCCTGGACTTGTATGTTTAATTTCTTCACCAAGTTAAGGAATTTTTCTGTCATTATTTTTTCAGATAGATTTTCAATTCCTTGCTCTCTCTCTTCTCTTTGTGGCACCCCTATGATATAAATATTGGTACGCTTGAAGTTGTTCCAGAGGCTCCTTACACTATCTTCATTTTTTTGCATTCTTTTTTCTTTTTACTCTTCTCATTGGATGTTTTTTGCTTCCTTATATTCCAAATCACTGATTTTATTCTCAACTTCATCTACTGTTAATTCCCTATAAATTATTCTTCATTTTAGGTAGTGCAGCCTTCTTTTCTGACTGGTCCTTTTATATGCTGTTGAGGTTCTCAGTAAGTTCCTTGAGCATCCTTATAACCAGTATTTGGAACTCTGACTCTAATAGATTGCTTATGTTCATTTTGTTTAGTTCTTTTTCTGGATTTCTGTTCTTTCATTTGGGACATGTTTATCTCATTTTGGCAACCTCCTTATGTTCACTGCTGTGTATTAGGTAGAGCTACTACATCTCCTAGGCTTGCTAGAGTGGCCTAATATAATAGGTGTCCTATAGGGTCCAGTGGCACAGCCTCCCTGATCACCCAAGCTGGGCACTTGAGGTGTGCACTGCCCCTTCCATGTGGGCTGTACAGCTTTCTCTTGTAGTTGAGCCTTGATTGCTGTTGGCAAGTCAATAGGAGGGATTTACCCCCACCTGATCAGCTTCAAGGACTGGCTGCAACCACCAACTACCAACCTCTGTCCACTGTGGAGGATCAGCAGTGTAGGGCCCACCCCCACAGAGCAGAACTTACTTCAGCGGGGCTCTGGTGCCCACGCAATCCACCCCTTGAGTATATTGTTTGTGGAGGTGGTTAGGTGGTGGTGCTTCAATGTGGTCTGAAGCTGTCCACTGGGTCCATTGTCTCTTGTTGGGCTTCCTGGAAAGTGCAGGCCAAGGTCAACTGCTGCTGTTCTTCGCGGGGCCACAAAGTCATCTGCAGATGTCTATCACTTGTGCTGGGCGTAGAGGTGCCCAGGGGAGGCCAATCTGAGAACCAAGGCCAGCTGCTTCCAGTGCTTCCCTATGCTTGTTTCTATGTGTTAGGTAAAGCTTCTCTGTCTCCTGGACTTAGTAGAGTGACCTTGTGTATTAGGTGTCCTGTAGGGCCCAGTGGCACAACCTCTCCAGTCATCCAAGCCAGGAATTGCAGGAGTGTCCCTGTGTGGGCTGTGTGCACAGTCTTGCTGTAGTTGATCCTTGATTGCTGTTGGCATCACTGGGAGGGATTGACCCCAAGGCGATTTGGCTGTGAGGACCAACTGTGACTACAGTCGAAGAGCTGCTGTACAGGAGACATTCCTATAGAGCAGGACTTGCTTCAGTGGGGCTTTGGTGCTCTCCAAGTCTGCCCCTTGAGTGTGTTGCTTATGGAGGTGCCCACATTGTAATTGGCATGGTCTGAAGCTGACCACTGGGTGCATTGTCTCAGACCTCTCGGAAGGTGGGCTCTGCCTTTATTCATCTGGTATAAGCTACAGAATGATCTGCAAATGGCTGCTACTTGTGCTGGGCTTGGAGATGCCCAGAAGAAGCCAAGCTATGAATCAAGGCTGGCTACCACTAGTGCTGAGCCTGGGGCCACTTAGCAAGAGGTACAGGATACATAGAGACCAGATGCTACTTGTTTGAGAGATTTTAGGAAAGTCCGAAGCATGAGGCAAGATAGGCCAGTTTTATGGAAAACCTATTGGAAGTAGCTTGTGTGGGCCTGCAAGTAGGGTGCGGGTGGGGTCTCAGGGAATCACCAGGGCAGGGCAAGTAGCCTTAACCAGGTTGGTGGAGACTCAGATATGGTGCCTCACTCTGCAGGGGGGACGTCCACAACTGAGATATCCCTCCTGATTTTTGTATGCCACATGTGGGTGTGGGACCAGCCCGGTCCATGTCTCTGCCCCTTGGACCAGTCTCCATGTAGCTTCTTGAATTCCCAGTTGTAGGACTTCCATTCAGCTAGATTTCAGGTGCTTCTGAATGATGGTTGTTCTTTAGTTTAGGTGTTATTCTGATGTGGTTGTGAGAGGATGCAAGTTCTGCATTTACCTACATTGCCATCTTGGCCTGTGTCCCTGCCATGCAATCTTAACTTTTGTTTTATTGTTTCATTCAGTTAAAAGTGCTTATCACAGCCTCAACTGGTGTTGCTCAGTGGGTTGAGCATCATTCTGTGCACCAAAAGGTCGTTGGTTAGATTCCCAGCCAGGGCACTTACTCAGGTTGCAGGGTAGATCCCCAATAGGGGCGTGTGTGAGAGGCAATCGATCAATGTTTCCTTCTCACATCGATGTTTCTCTCTCTCTTCCTCTCCCTGCTCCTCTTTCTAAAATCAATAGAGACAGAGATTTTTAAAAAATGCTTACCATAGCCCTCTACGTTAATTTCATCCTCGAAAAGTTCACACCAGCAGTTTGGGAGTCACTGAGCCAGAGGGCCAGCCCATACTCCATTTTGCAGAGAGCTTGGTCTTCCGTCTCCCATGCCTGCTCTCCGTTCTCCCCCGTCACAAGCCTCACCCCTCCTCTCCCATTTCCTAGGGACGGGTTTAACGTGCGGATCCCTCTGCCGGGCCCCCTGTTTGACACCCTGCCCCGGGAGATCCAGAGCGGCATGCTGCTTCGGGTGCAGCCCGTCCTCTTCAACGTGGGCATCAACGAGCAGCAGACGCTGGCCGAGAGGTGCGTGTGCAGCCCTCGGGACGGGGAGCTGGGGCAGACATAGAAATGATGTGGAATGTGGACTCAGCCCTCTTCAGGCTCCGGATGCTGGATGGACTTGGTCTCCTTCCTTCCTTTGGCCACCAGGAGCGGCATGAGCCACCTTCCTTTGGTCAATTGAAGAGGCAGAGGAGAGACCTGGCATCCCAGGTCCAGGAGCCTGAGCAAGGCAGGCAGGGAGAAACTCCTGGGGCCAGAGGCCCAGGTCCCAGGCAGACAGGCAATGGTGAGGTTAGAGGGTCTGTGTGCCATGCAGAGGGTCACCTGGGTCCTAAAGGCTTATGCCTTGTAAACTCCCTGCAGGGTCACCTGCCAGGCAGCAGGGAAGAGCCATGTTGCAGGTGTGTGTACATGTATGTGTGTGCTGCAGAGGAGGAGGGATTGGGTGTGTGCAACCTGTCATGACCTTTCACTAGTACATGAAAATCTTTCCTGCTTTCTGTCCCATCATGTGACGTGTGTACTTTAGAATGAAAAGGTCTCTTAACTCTCAGTAAGGGCATTTGGTCTCCAGGATGATCATATTCCTACTGGGCTTTTAAATGATCCATCGACCTGTAGGTGTGGTCACTCCATTTGGCACATGTGGTGGGGCTGGGGGAGACATGGAAGAGCATTAGGGCAGGACACAGTCAGGCTTACCTTTTAAGTCGATGACTTTCTGGCCATGTCCTAGACAACGGTAGGGGACACGTGTGCTGAGGAGGTTGTTGGAGAGAGTCGAGCCCGAGGCAGACAGGGTCGTGTGGATGGAGATTTCGCAGTGTGACAGAAAGCTGGGCCCGCAGCTGGGCAAGTGTGAGAGAAAGAGGGACAGCGGGACAGTGACAGCCTGGCCCAGGAGCAGGGTCATGGAGCAGGGCTCGGAGCCCTCGAAGGTTGGCAGGTGGAGGAGCCACTGCAGGGAGAGAGGGAGCATCATGGCAGCAGGGAGGTGGCCGGCGGGGGAGGAGACTGCGTCTCCTGTGTGGGGCAGCTCCGTTCCGATGCCTCCGCGAGAGCAGGGCCACATCACAGTGAGCGGGGGCTGGTGGAGGAGGACATGACGGTGGGGTGAGTCCAGGGTTTTTGCTTTGCTCCTGGGACACTGCCCTCAGCTCATAGACAAGCCCAGCTGCTGCACAGAGGGAAAGCCAGCATGGTCCTCAGGTAGACAGGCTGTGGTGGGCCCACAGGAGGGTCCTGCCTTAGCAAGAACCTGGACCATGAAGAGGCTACTGTGTAGGAGACCCCTCTGCAGGGAAAGGTGGAGCGGGCCTGGCCTCCGGGCCTTGGAGTCGCAGCCTGCGTGTCTCTGTGACCGCTTTGCACCTTCCTGTGCTGGTCTTTTCTGCCTCGCCCTTGAGCCTCTGGCACGTCTTGGCTGCCTGCAAAGTGGACAGGGTGAGCTGCATGGTGAGGAGAGCTAGTCTCCACACAGTCCAATCGAGCGAGGTCATTCGGAGACAGAGCACACCTTCACACCAAGTGTGGGACCCGTCCTCACTCCCCAGCCATCGCCCTCCTGCTGTCCCCTCTCCTGAGTCCATGAGGGATGGGAGGGCGGGACTCCCGCCAGGGCAGCACTGTGAGGTTTCGGGTGTACACCTGGGGAGGGCTGTACACCTGGAGTTCTCATAGCCTCTGGGACACGCCTGTAACCAGTGGTGCATGGCTCCTGCTGATGAAATGTGTTTAGACTTGTCACCTGGGAGCCGAGGTGCTCAGAATGGGGTGTGCTCAGTAAGTGTTTGCATTGCATTAGCTTGAACGCGATCGGGCGCTGTGGGAGGAGGGTGGCATCAGCCGCTAACAGCCTCCCTGTGACCCCCGAAGGTTTGGCGACACGTCGTTACAAGAAGTTATCAACATGGAGAGTTTGGTACGGCTAAATTCCTACTTCGAGCAGTTTAAGGAAGTGTTGCCTGAGGATTGTAAGTATTTCCTCACGTGTGGTAGGTCCCACCGATCGTCTTGTGTCACCTTGGGTGTGCTTCCTGGCTTTCCTGTGCTGCCCGCCTGCTCCCTGTCCCTGCGGCAGCCCTTCCACCGCTCAGGCTGCCCGCCCCCACCCAGAGGACTGCCCAGGCCTCAGGTGCCCCTTTCTGACCTCTCCCCACCCTCACCCACATCACACAGGGCTCTGCCATTCCTCTTAGTTACTTGCAAGCACTGTGGGCAGGAAGGGGGAGTTCTGTGCTGGACATTTTGGGGCGGCCAGTTTCTAGTGATGCAAGGCCCCAGGAGATGTTAAGGTGGCCCGGTGATGAGGCCAAGGCGGCGCGGCTACGGGAGCAAAACCACGTGGGCATGAGCCTCCCAAGGCGGGGCCTCTGACCGGCCGGCGCTGAGCACAGATCAGGAGTGTGGGGTAATTAGCAGAGGGTCCTGTGTCCACCAGGTCGAGGTCTTGTGCTGGACACTGTATGTGCTGCTAGGCCCCAGAATTGCACGTATTTGGTTTTGATTTGGGGACTTAGGCACCGTGCTGTTCTCCTTAGCCATAGCCTGGAGAGTCCTCTTTTTCTCTGATGATCCCCATGTCTGAACATCCCAAGTTTATCAGGGGAGGTGGCAGTCTGACTGATCCTTGGTCTGAGGGGTCCCAGAAGCACCTGGAGATGTCATGGTGGCAGAGGGAGCTGCTGGAGGGGGTGACCCTGCCTGGGCCACTCCAGGTCCACTTGCTGGAGGCGCCCGCCCCACATCCCCAGTGATAGACAAGCCCTCTCAGTCGCCACTGCCCAGTGTCCTCCCTCCCTGGGGGAGGGTGTGCAGACTGGGTGGGTCACCTCTGCCCTCCCTCCCCTCCTGCCCTGGTGGCTCTGTGTCTGCCTTGGGCCCTGGGGGGAGCTGAAAGGGGCTGAAGCAAGCGAGTGCCATGCAGGTGAACTGAATGGCAGTGAAAGGCATTACGTTCTCCCCACATGTAGCCGGGTCCAGGCCCCCATACACCCTCTGTTCTTGCTTAAGTCACACTCAACTTCCAGCTTCAGCCAGAAACTTCATTTTGCCATTTCTGAGCCTCACGGCTCCCTGGGCTGTGCTCAGGTGTGACACCAGCTCCCAACGCCTCCTCCTTCTAGGCTTGCCTCGCTCTCGGAGCCAGACGTGCTTGCCGGAGCTGCTGCGGTTCCTGGGCCAGAACGTCCATGCCAGGAAGAACAAGAACGTGGACATCCTCTGGCAAGCTGCTGAGGTGCGCCCCACAGAGAGGAGGGCATCGCGCTTCTCCTGCTGCCGTGGTAACCGCCACAGGGACAGCATACCCAGCGGGCAGGAGCAGAGCGCGTGGGGTTCCCCTAGGACACGGGAGAAAGGCACTGTGGTGTCCCCAAACTCGCAGATCCTGGGATTTGCCTGAGAGGTCATTCCTTTCTGGCTGCCTGGATTCTGATAAGCTTGACCCAGAACCTGTCCCCGGGCAGGTGATGGCCAGGCTGACGTGAGTCCTCACCCTCAGAAGCCTGCGCAGCCAATACCAGCTGAACCCGCTGCCTCTCTGTCCCCCAACAGGCCCAGAGGAGACCGTGGGCCTCCTTCCCGGTCTCCACACATTGTTCGTCGCATGTGTAGCTCAGATCTCCTCTTTCCCAAGCACTGAGCCCTTCAGACATGCCCTCGGGGTGTCCTGTGCGCCTGGTGCTTGCAGGCCAGCCGTTCATCCCGCCACACTCCCCGCGCAGCACTGGGGCCCGGTGGTCACTGGGACTCACAGGTGGCCCTAGAGGCACCACAGCTCCCTGCCTGGCTGTGAGCTGGGCCACTGCCCTGGTGGAGAGCCCCAGGAGCAGTTGGGGGTGCCCCACAGCTTTGCAGACAGGGTGGGTACAGAGAGCTGCCCCACCTTGTGTGGGAACAGTGACTCTTTCTCTTGCTACGGAATAGAAAAACGACCGCCCAGAGCAGTGCTCGACCATCCCTGTGCCAGTTCCAAAATGCAGGCCACACAGCCCATATCTTCTGTTCCCACCAGAGGCCCTGGCACAGAAACAGGCCTCCTAGGTGGGAGGTCCTGAGGGACTCTCGGGTGTCAGTTCTCGTTGTCCACCTGGCATCCCATGGGGGACAGACGGGTGGGGGCAGCAGAGTCAAGTCCTGGGCTCTTCCTCCTCACTAGGACCACAGCTGCCTCCTTTTCTGAGTCTTGCTGTTTTTTTTTTTTTTAAGCTTTTACTTTTTATTTTTTAACTAGAGGCCCGGTGCACAAAAATGTGTGCATTCGGGGGGAAGGCAGGGTCCCTCAGCCCAGCCTGGGACCCCTCGGGAGATAACGACCTGCTGGCTTAGGCCTGCTCCCGGGTGGCAGAGGGCAGGCCCAATCCCTAGGTGCA